GCAGAGGCTCGATGTATGACATGCCGTCTGACAACCACGGATGGCCTGTGAGGTGAGCGAGAGTTCACGTCACAAATGGGGGGGAGGTGGGAAGTGGTGGGGGAGGTGGGGGTGGGAGGGAGAGGGGGGAGGGCCCCCGGGAAGTCGGCACCACCGGAGGCAGAGGCTTGATGTATCACATCACATGCCCTCAGACAACCACGGATGACCTGATGTGGGAGGAAGGGTAACACAGAAGAAAGGGGGAGGTGGGAGAGGGGTGGGAGAGGGGTGGGGAAGGGACCGGCAAAATGCAGTCGGCACAGCACCACTGCAGGTAAGGTTGCCCTGCAGCGAGGTGACTTTTGAGTCGACTCAAAAGTTGCCCTGCAGCGCAGCCCAGAAAATCTCCTTGCTGGGGTGGATGACGGATCCCTGCATGGGTTTTGAGGGCTTGAGGGAAGCCCTAAAACGGCCGTGCACTCACAGAGCACTTGGTGAGCGGTGGGGCGCTTGGAGGGGTCGGGGTGGAGCATGGACTTGACGAGCTCCTTGGCGTGGTCCGAGATGGACGGCCACGGGGCAATGGCAAACGTCGGGTTGCCTCGAAGCACGGCCTTGAATATCTCCTTGGTGGAATGACTCCCTGCATGGTCAAAGTGGACATGCCCATGAAATTGAAGAAAAGAAAAAGAAAAAGAAAAAGAAACGGAATGAGGACCAGCCTGTAGAGACAGGGACATAATAAGGAACGGCACGGCAACACATTCAATAGTTACCTCAAAACCCAATGTCACGACTTGTTGACATGGAGCATTGAGACGTTTCAAAATGTCAAGATGTCTCAAACCTCCAGAGAGGTTTCAAAAGGCAAATGTGGGCACGTACGGTGGTAGACGGGAAGCTGCAGAGAAGCGCGTAGATGATGACGCCTGCGCTCCACACGTCCACCTCCGGGCCGTACTTGGGCGGCCGCTTGGCCATGATGAACGCCCCTGGCCGCCACTTGATGACCTCTGAGCCGACTGAAAACCCAACTCCACAGAGATTGCCAAAGTAGAGGAAGAGGGCACATACGGTGGTAGAAGGGTGGGAAGCCGCAGAGAAGCGCGAAGATGATGACGCCTGCGCTCCACACGTCCACCTCCGGGCCGTACTTGGGCGGCCGCTTGGCTATGATGAACGCCCCTGGCCGCCACTTGATGACCTCTGAGCCGACTGAAAACCCAACTCCACAGAGATTGCCAAAGGAAGTAGAGGAAGAGGGCACGTACGGTGGTAGAAGGGTGGGAAGCCGCAGAGAAGCGCGTAGATGATGACGCCTGCGCTCCACACGTCCACCTCCGGGCCGTACTTGGGCGGCCGCTTGGCCATGAGGAACGCCCCTGGCCGCCACTTGATGACCTCAGGCGCCATGTACATGGGGCTACCACAGTGCCGCGACATGCCCTCGCCTGGAAGGAAGGAGCGGGGAGGATAAGGGAAGAGGAATGGGGTTATACGCATCTATCCTGACCGCCACTTGATGACCTCAGGCGCCATGTACATGGGGCTACCACAGTGCCGCGACATGCCCTCACCTGGAGGGAGGGCATGAGGAGGATGGGGGTGAAAGGAAGAGGAACGGGGTTCTAGACCTCCTTCCTGGCCGCCACTTGATGACCTCCGGGGCTACCACAGTGCCTCGATATGCCCTCGCCTGGACGGAGGGCATGGGGACGATGCGGGTGGGGAAAGAGGAATCGGTTATTGGCATCCAGGCATCCATCCAGGTTGCCACTGTAAATTAGGGCGTGGGGAGAGCCGGGACTAGCAAAAGGGAGGAGTGCAGAGGGGTGCTTCTGGGGTGGGGAGAGCGGGGGGTGCTGGGTTGGGGAGAGCAAGGGGGTGCAAGGGGGTGTTGGGGTGAGGAAAGAAGCGAGTTGTGTTGGTGGGGAATGGAAGTGGGGAGATGTTGAGAGGCGGCCAGCAGCAAGTGAGGGGAGGCGAAATGGAGACCGTTGAGGGGAGGAGAACGGGGGGCCGTTGGGGGGAGGCGAACAGGGGGTTGCTGGGCTGGGGGAGGCGAATGAAGGGTTGTTAAGGAGAGGAGAAAGGGGGGTTGTTAATGGGAGGCGAACGGGGGGTTTGTTGAAGGGAGGCAAACAGAAAGATCCGTTGAGCAAACGAGATTGCTTAGCGAGCACCCACCAACCCACCTTTGTAGAAGCAAGAGAGGCCGAAATCCGTGGCCTTGAGCTCAGCCGTGGCTTCGTCCTTGCTGGAAAGCAGGAAGTTCTCGGGCTTGAGGTCCCGATGCACGACACCCAGCGAGTGACAGCACTCCACCACTCGCACTATCACCTTCGCCATCTCTGCTGCGTCCCTCTCCCTGTGGTGTGTGGGCGAGCAGAGGGCACGGGCGACGAGGCAGAAAGAAGCTTGCATTAGAATGCACCCACCAGCACTCGCACTACCGTGTCCATTTCCCCGGCAGGTAGTCATAAGGTGGGCCATGGAAGACCCATCCAGATCAGATCATACCAACCCCCCCTCCCACCCAATGGGTACTCACGAGTAAGGCACTCCTCTGGCCTCTATCCTCTTTATGATCGTGTCGTAAAGCTCCCCTCCCGTGCACAGCTCCATCACAATGTACACGTGATCCTTGTCCTCATACGCGTCCTTGATATTCACAATGTTGGGTTGATTCTGAATCCCAGGAAGGAGCACAGAAAATCAACACCAGCAAATTTGTTGAGCTGTAGTTATCCGGAAAAAACAACACACTGCTGTCTGACAGACATCACTTCCAGTTCTGAAGAGTTCAAAAATGCACCGAGGCAGATGACAGTACAGAAATCCAACCCCACGCACCTGCACGTGGTACAGTATTGCCACTTCCCGCCTGACATCCTCCACGTCTCCCTCCGTCAGCAGCTTGCTCTTAGGAATACACTTGCACGCGTACGCCTGCCCCGTGGCCCGCTCCACGCACACATAGGTTGTGCCGAACTGCCCCGAGCCCAGCTTCTTTCCGATGTCAAAGACATCCGGAAAGGATGCTGGCGTGGGGATTGCGGAGGTTGATCAACGGATTGGGTTGATTGAGGGACGGTGATGGATTTGGGGGGGGACCATAAATCCGAAGCAGACGCAACAATGACATGGATGTGCAAAAAAGAGTGGGATCTCATCCGCAACCCTAATCAAGCCGAGTGCCTAAGAGGCCATCTGATACGCTGTAAAAAGGGCGTGGAACAATGCACTGGGATCGACTCCTGGGTTGAGCAAGGACAGCAGGGACTTGGTACCTGGGTTCGTGGTGGAGAGCACCCTTCCAGTGAAATGGCGTCTCCGGCCCTGCCATGAAGAAATAACGATGGAAGGAACTGAGTTAGCAAAAACCAAGAAGGTACGAAGGGAGCATGTCGACAATCACTCTGTTCATATCTTCTGTGCCAGCAGGAGAACCATGCAGAGGTACCCTCGCGTCTCTATTAAGTAGTAAGAGCGCATGAAGAGCCTACCGAAAGCGTGAGAAAAGGGCGCGATTGGACTAAATGTTTTCGCGCAAACAAAAGAAAAACGGAAAGTAAAAAAGAGAAAGGTAAGGAGCTAAAAGAAAAGGGAAATAGTAGGTCGAAGGCTAGCCAACATGACACCGTTGAACGAGATTGAGGCTTACCGCATCCATTCGGAGGCCTTGTCAAACGCTAAAAAAATCGAGCTGATCTACTATCGGAAAGTCTTCAATGTAACGATTTTGGAATTGCTGCTGAAGATAAATAGTACGCAGTTGCTTACGCTAGAAAGTGTCGTCCAAACATCAGCTCAAGTATCAACAAGGAAACTGCTAACGCGGCTATAACAGCGGATCAATGGAAGTCCACGACGGAAGAGCGATGACTGCGCAGGTGGGCGAGAATACTGAATTTGCCAGGAAACTAGACTAGTGAGCTATTCTGACCACATTTGGGAAAGGACAAGCTACACATAGTAGTCGCTGTTGGGGAGGATGCTAGCACTTCATTTCTGCCAAACACTGTGTACTGAAAAAAGTAGGGTTCGTGGCAACTTGAGACGCTACATAGAAGTGGGTTGGGAAGAGAAACCTGTGGACAGGAGGTGTAACCTTCGGTCAAGGCTCGTTTTGGGAACGCATCGAAGATCGCCTCTGGTACAAATGGCCAAATCTCGACCATCGAGTGCGGAAGAAATAGCTCATCTGTCACTAGACCCAGCGTGCTCGGAATATGGGGTAATTCCCTACCGTGTACAGAATGTGTCGTGGCAATCGCTCAAGGTACAATCGATCACTTATCTCTACAGTGGGATTCTTTAGCATAATGAGTGTATTTAGGGGGGTGCTGGAGCCTGCAGGAGGGAAAACTCGTGTGATGAAGATGCGGCTGTTCCACAAACGAAAAGGCGAAGCACCCAACGAAACTGGTTTGGTCGGGGTTTGTTGGGAGAGGTTGCGTTCCGAAAGATGCGGCGGAAAGGGTCTTCTGTGATGGTGAAGGTCTCAACATCAGCTTTTGCGTTAGCTACGGAATTATGCAATTCATGACTCTTTGCAAAGCTGAGATATTATAACGAAGTATTCTGGGGCGAGTATATCACAGCTCCACACCCCTACCGCTTTTCTTTTGTGCAGTTCTCTGGTCGTCCTTATACCCAAGAACGAATTTCCCGTTCCACCTTCCACAGCACACCAATGATGCTCCACCTTGAATCAATCGCTATTTCTGTCCTAGTTGTTTTGCTTCATGCAAGCTGCATGACAGCGGTTAGTGGCCTGCGTTTTTCGCGTGTCTAAGTGCTTCTATTCTCCGTGAAGTGATATAGCGAGTGCTTGCAGGCGTACGATGGTAATATATTTAAATATTCAACCTTGAGCAAATATGTCGCTAACGCCCAACGGTCAGCTGAGTTAAGGGTAAGCATCCGCATCCTTTCTTGCGGCGTGCTGTTTCACCTACACAGCTCACCTCATCGTTCCGCAGGAGCGCTTGCTAGAATTTTCTCCTCCGGGAGAAATGACTGTCAAAAAATGTGGCAGACGTTTTCGTGACCTGGTTCATAGGCTACGTGAGTGCTAATTTTTCTCTGTCGTTACTACTATGCCATAGGAAATTTCCTCATTTGCCTTTTGCAGCTCCCTACAAGCCGACTGGTTCATTCCTTGTCACCGTTTGCAATGGCGGTCTCAATCAACAGCGAGGAGCAATTGTCAATGCCGTTGTCCTAGCACGCTTTCTTAATTTGACACTTGTTGTTCCATTCTTGAAAGCCCACCCTGTCTGGGGAGATAGCAGGTAAATCTTCTGCATAGTCATTCACGATTATCTCCTGACAGACATCCATGGGTCAATAACAGCTGAATCAACAGCTCGTTTCAAGATTTATTCAACCTGACGCATTTTGAATCGGTGCTGAAAAGCTTCGTCAAAGTGGTTACAACCATCCCCGAAGAGGCAAAACAACTCCCTATTCATGAATTTAGGCCTCCTGAAGATGCTCTGGCAACGTTGGATTGGTAAGGTGTATTTTTTCTTTTGTATGCCTTGGCCAGCATTCATGTGATTTCTCACTAGCACAGGTACGTGGACAACGTTAAGCCATCAGTCCAAAACAACAGCATTGTTCTACTAAGTCCCTTCGCACGGCGCCTCGGAAACGTTCTTCCAGAACCGTGGCAACTCCTTCGGTGCAAGGTCAACTATGAGGTACGCTTCTTGTTTTGTGCCTTGTACTGGCGTTAAAAAATTACGTGTCTAACATGCTATCTGAAACAGGGCCTCAGATTCGTGAATTCCATTCTTGTACTTGGAAGAAAGGTCATACGGAGAATGAAGAAGATGTCATCCAACTTCGTGTCATTGCACTGGAGGTTCGAGACTGATGCTGTTGCTTATTCCATGTGCGAATACGGGGGTGGTGAGAAGGAGAAGCTGGCTCTAGAGGTATGGAGTCGTTGTCCTATACTATACTCATGTATAGTCTTTCTCCTTGCTAAGATACTTACTGATGTTTGTACAGGAATACCGCATAGAACACTGGGACAGAGCAACAAGGAAGCTTCGTGAAACACTTAATCCTGCTAGTCAGCGAGTACTTGGACAGTGTCCAATGAGTGCCATCGAGACAGGAATCTTCATGCGAGCAATGGGAGTTCGCAAAAGCTCAGCCATTTACGTTGCTACGTTAGAGAGACAGCTTTTTGGTGGCAATCATAGCCTTCAATCTCTGCGATCCATGTTTCCAAATGCTGTGACGAAACGAGACATTTTAACACAGGTAAGAGTGCTTACAAGTTTGCACTCCATGGCACCAGTGCTCGTGCTAATGCTGTGATCTCCTCTAAACATTGTGTGTACAGGGAGAACTTGGTCCGTTAGAGGAAAGGGCATCTGCACTAGCAGCTATTGATTACATAGTCTCAACAGAAAGTGGCATCTTCATTCCAACCGCGACTGGAAATTTTCCTAATTTTGTTATTGGGCACAGGTGATGTGATTTGTATGCCCACTCTCTATGTCTCTGTCTTGTGGCCCTTCTGACGCATGGAAAGCACAGGCTTTATTATGGCCAGCGGAGCATTCAACCGGACTTGAAAAAACTGGCATTATTATACTCATGCCACCACCTGTCCAAAGAGCACGATATGCTTGACCTCGTCAGAGCTGCCCACGAGGACCGCTTTATTTACCATGGGAGGTCACCAAAGAGCAACTTTTTTGCAAACCCAGAGGAGTGCCTCTGCCCGGCCTGAATGTTAATTTATTGATGCTGCCAACCCACAAGCTTCATACTGCAACTGTTAAATTATTGTGTAACTCATACTGCTAGTAGTTTGTGACAAAGATTTTTTTTTTTTTTGGCAATCACAATTGTAGGCCTGCCAGCCCTATCACATCCCTTACAAGCAGTTGGGAGTCTATAAAATTGTCATACCCATGAATTGCGACGACTGTCCTCCCCATTGCATTCACAACCGTTCCACCTTCTTTCACCTCAAACGAGTCTTCTGCACTAAACCGATGCAACACATTCCCCTGCTGTGCATCCTCTATCTTCAAAAAATCTATACCTTCTTTCAAGCGCCCTGCATCACAGCAAGCAGTCGTTGATGAGGTAGGAGTAAGGGGAAATTCACAAAAAAAAAGAAAAAAAGAAAAAGAAATAAATGTGTGTCACGGCATGGTAGAACGTCACAGTCGATGCATGAATGTTCGTTATAACTGCTGCAATGCTTCTTACCTGAACGGACGAGATGGTTTACAACAGCTTCATCGCTTCCCTCCAGCGCTATACATTCCTCTGGTAGCCTCTCAAAGTCTTCAATGACCTGTATCAAAAACTCTGGCACCTGGCTCATAGTCCCAGCCACAAAGCCGGATGTGATGATTCGCGATTTTGCGAGCGAGAATGCCAGGCGGGTGCCGTAACATGTCGCCAGGCGCTTGTGCTCTGGAGGCAGAAAACGGACACCATGTGTTGGATATGTGGTTGAGCCCTGGAAAGGGCAACACAAAAGGGCAGACGTATGGTTGTGGAGGGTAAATCGGAACAAGTAGCATCAAATTTCAGCCGAATACACACAGGTGTATGTGATGCAAGAATAAGCAGCCCTTCTGACCCACTTCCCTTGCCCCAAGTCACCAGCCAGCCGCGCTCCCATTGAAATAACTAACTTCACAGAGATGAAAGACACATTGTCAACAAACGTTATCGAGGTTAAAAAGCACACACAATATGAACACTTACTGTGTAGAGATGAAACGACATGTCATTGAGTGTAGGAAATGGATTGGCAAGAAAGAGCACATCTGTAGGGTCAGCGAGGATGACAGTGCCCTCAAAGTCCAGCGAACGCAGGAAGAGGTGGAAGGCACGATAGCGCAGGTTGGTGGCATGTGCTGCTGCCCACTTGCCTGGAAATAAGTGGGTGAAATAAAATAAGGGTTTAAAAAAAGCATAATGAGCACGATAGCGCAGGTTGGTGGCATGTGCTGCTGCCCACTTGCCTGGGATTGCGAAAGAGTGGGAGAGGTGAAAGGGCTTCAGAGAAGCATCATCAGCATGATATTGCAGCAGGTTGACATGTGCTGATGAATTGCCATTTGAAGGGATGGGAACATGAAAAGCTCTTCTATGCACGATAGTGCAGGGTGGGTTGGATTGGATGCATGTGATGACTGGTTGAGTCAACTAACAATCGTGCGCAACAATGGCTTTAAGAGAATTGATTAGGTGGATGAGTGAAGAGGCACGTGTCACGGGAAGTTCAACAGACACGATGAGAAGAATACTTGGGAGGTTGGCTGGCGGCATGAAGGGTTAGAAAGACAAGAGAAGCAGGACACGCTGACCTTCTTCCGGTGAGCAGAACGTTTGCAGTGCAACCCCCGGTTGATGCTTCCACCCCTGTGGCCACTCCTGAACGAAAAACACCAGCAGAGTGCCGCTATGCCCCCCCTCACTCCCACTCTCACCCCCACTCTCACTCCCATCCCCTCCTCCACCGCCACCGCTGATGCTACTGCCGCTGCTTCCTTCAAGCACGAATTTTCTGAATGACGTGGCAAGTGCTGATAGGTTGGCAGCGGAAAGGCCGAGCGCGAACGAGAGGACGAGGTTGGCTGGGAGCGTCTTGGGAGTGAGCTTGAGGGGTGTCGGGGAGAGCAGCTTGCGCAGCACAATATCGTCCTCTGCAACTCCCTCACAGGACCGCACCCTCTCCACTGAGGGGTCTGGTACGGACGGACCAATCACGGCCGAGGGGAGGACGGGAGGGGTGGAAGGAGAGGGGGTTGCATAGGAGAGAGGAGCTTCAGGGGCGTCGGGGAGAGGAGCTTGCGGAGAGAGAGCAATGTCATCCTGTGCCACTCCCTTTTGAGCCGACTCAAAAGTCACCAAGCTTCAGGGGAGTCGGGGAGAGGAGCTTGCCGAGAGAGAGCAATGTCATCCTCTGCCACTCCCTCAGAGGACCGCACGCTCTCCACTGAGGGGTCTGGCAATTACGGGCGAGGGGAGGAGAGGAAAGAGAGGCCAATGTCGCCCTCTGCCACTCCCCCACAGGAACGAACCCTCTCCGCTGTGTGTCTGGTATGGGCCGATAACGGGTGAGGGGAGGAGTGGAGAAGGAAGCTGGCACGAGCAATGTCGTCCTCTCCTCTGCCAGTCCCTCACACGATCGCGCTCTCTCCACTGAAGAAATCACTTTTGAGAATTCTCAAAAGTGATTTCCAATGCCGGCCTCTCCTCTGCCGCTCCCTCACAGGAACGCACTCTATCCACTGAGGGATCTGTTACGGGCCAAGAGGGAAGGGGGGGAGGGGGGAGCGGGGAATGGGAGGGTGTGGAAGGTGGAGGGTGGAGAGGGTTGAGGGGCGACGGGGGAGGGGAGAGGGAAGAGGGAAGCGGGCTGCGGAGCTAGGGCAAGTCACGATTTTTTAGTCGACTCAAAAAGAGGGAAGGGGAGGACCGGGTTGGAGTGGAGAAGGAAAAGGGCAGGGTTGGGGCCATTGGGAGAGTAGAGTTTTGAGTCGACTCAAAACTCGACTCAAGAGTTTTTAGTCGACTCAAAACTCGACTCATTACACGCGGGTTGGGACCATTGGGAGAGTTGTGGGCTTGGGCTTGGGGGTTTGGGGTTGGAAGGGGGAGGGGATTTTGGGCGTAAGTTTGACTGGGTCGCGGAAGTGGGGGAAGGGGAGTGGGGGAGGTCGAGGAGGGGGAGGGGGGAGAGGGGATGGGAGAAGGAAGGGTGATTGAGTTTCGCTTGGAGGATCAGCACTTCCCTTCCCCACACCCCTGTCCCCTTCCCCCCCCCCCCCCCCCCCCCCCCCCCCCCCCCTCCAAATTTAGATAAATAAAGCTCACATTTCACAGCAGCTGCGCCTTGTGCTTCTGTTGATGATGATCCTGCTACCATCCCAATTCCCTGCCCTGCGTGTCGCTTATCGCCTTTCCTCCCTTCTTCCTTCTCCTCCTCCTCCTCATCGTCAAATCTAAACACCTTGTCCTCCTCCTTCTCCGCCTCTTCCTCCTCCTCCTTCCTCCTCCTCTCCTCCTCTTCCTCCTTCTTGACCTCCTCTTTTTCTCCCTCCCTCACACTCTCACTCTCTGAAAGATTGAGCTCTCTGTCAATAGCGCCTCTGTCAATCACATGTTCCGCAATGCCATCCTCGAATTTCACCTCAGCAATAGCGCCTCTTGCTCGGATCGCTTCTCTCTTATTCCCTTCCCCTTCACTATTATCACTACTATTATTAGGAACAGTCTCATACGGTGGAATTCCCGACTGATCCCCTCCTGATTGATCCCCATTACTCGTTACTGTACCTCTCGTTATTTCACCCTCCGTTTCCGCAATTCCCTCACCTCCTCCTCCCCTTTCTCCGCCAATCCCTATTATTCTCCGCCCGGTTCCCAGCCTTACCCTTCCGTCATGGCTTCCGTCAAGGGTTTGCAAACCAGGGGACTCGTTAAGATTCATTAGATGCCGATTCGTTACAGGGATAACTACCGCGACCGTGAATAGTAAACCGAGTAGATAAAGCGTCATCAGACGCAGGGGTCGCGGACGAGACGAAGCTTCGGGAAACGTAACACGCACGCTGATGTTGAGGTTTTTCGCAAACGCGCCATCGCCGCGAAACACGGCTGAATTTGCGGGAACTCTGTCGCTGGTTTCCCGCGCGCGAAACCAGCGGCAAATCACCGACCAGACTCGCGACATTCTGGTTATGCGATGGTCGGACGGCCCGATGATTCCGTCTCATTTGGCATCAACGACAGCAGGGGCAGACGTGAAAAGAAAGGTAATAACAATGGAACTGAACACCAGACAGGTATATGTCATCAAGTTTTGCACACTGGATGCGAAAAGGGTAGCGGATCAGTTGCAGGCGGAGACTGTCAAAGTCCGTAGGTGCTACACGGTAGTGTAAGGCTATTAAGGAACTTAGTACGGTGAAATGCGCTAACAAAAGCAGCCAGGACAGATGCTTTGCCAGGGCTTTCAGCACGCAAGGATGTCCTGGGGGTGCGGCTGGGGTGCTGGGTGGTGGTTGTCCTCTCGTCGTCAGTTCAAGCGGCGGGTCGTGTGTCGAATGTTTAAAGCGTGTTCGAAGTACATCACCAGCTCGACATCGAGGTACGTCGGTGAATGTCAACCCTCGGTTCGAAAATTCCAACCGTCAGGATTCACCCACATCTCCCGACGTCGAGGTGGTGAGTACTTCGAACACGCTTTTACTGTATTTGGCTGTCCTAAAAAATACCACCTCTAAAGATCATTGTGCTTTTCTGACAATCCGACCATTTCGCTGACAACCCGTTCCGTTGACAAATTCCCACAATTGCCCTGCACCCTCGAGCAGCTGGTGGTCATTGGTCAACCGTCAACTTCAATTACAGTACAGTACCACCGAGCCGAAAGTTGCCAATCACGTTTAAATACGGTCAATCACGATTGAGAGCGGTTTCTGACTTTCACCAATCTTAATCGTCGTGCACCAGAATGAACCGTTCGATGTCAATTGTGGGCGTACAAAAATCACCTTACACTGGAACTTGCCAGAGTTGCCTAACTGATGGGCGATGACATCGAGGTGGGAGTTTTCCAGGGAACACACCCCCAAGTTGCTTCCACCGAGCTGGATCGAAGACATAAGCTTTGACGTGGGATGCATAGTCTTCAGGGTGAAGCCGTCACGGCAAACACCAGCTAGCTCCGTTGAGGCAAGGACGGTATGGAGAAGATGCATCATTCCAGGAAAACGTTTCGTAGTGGTCAACTTTTAGTACCAGTAGCGCAAGCCGGTGTATGAAACACCACTGAGACTGGGCGGCAAAGAAAACGTTAATGTCGCTCATTTCTTCAATCACTTGAAATCATCGCGCCTTTCCGTTAGCCTTGGCTCAATTCGGCTTGGTTTTGTTTGAATCCAAAGTCAGCGAGTCTGACGAAGAACCAAGTTTCTCGTCGTGGTAGCTGCTAAAGAAAGCACTAGGCTCTGATGACTCGGAATGCTGTGTCACGGAAGTACTTATCGTTTTGAGCTTCAAAACATGCTCAGGCCCTGACAAGCTGTTACGCGATCAGTTCACGTCAAGTGGTTACCACCATGGAGGTATGGAGCCAAGTCATTCTAGTCGCAGCGCTGCTCGTTTTTTCCCGCCAAGGCGTCTTTGCTACTCAAGAAGGTTTGCTCATTCGCCGTTCTCGTTCCACGCAGTATAAATTTGTCATTGCTGCCAGTATTATGTCCCCCAAGCACTCACTTGAATCCTTTTCTGCACTGCTCGCATGTATTCTCGCCAGAAAGGGCGTCTATACTGCACACTAGGGTTCTAAAAGCCGTTCAGAAATCCATGCCATGTCACGTGGATTTCCAAGAGTGATTCTTAAGTCAACTTGTTACGTATCCCAAAGCCCCCTCCGTGCAATGTCAGGGCCTTACCTGTGCAACTACGTGCTGCCAGCGTTCAAGAACCTAGATAATCGCAAATAGGTTACCGAGAGTGACTCACAAGTTACCCCTTATGTATCATGATCCCCTGCAATCTCTATGCTATGCATTAGGGCCTTACCTGTACAACTACGTGCTGCCAGCGTTCAAGAACTTAGATTATGTTAAATAGGTTACCGAGAGGGACTCACAATTAACCCCTTATGTATCCATGGTCCCCTGCAATCTCTATGCTATGCATTAGGGCCTTACCTGTACAACTTAGTGCTGCCGGCGTTCAAGAACCTAGATTATGATAAATAGGTTACCGAGAGTGACTCACACAAGTTACCCCTTAAGTATCCATCATGGTCCCCTGCAATCTCTATGATATGCGCCAGGGCCTTACCTGTACAGCTTCGTGCTGCCAGCGTTCAAGAACCTTGATTACGACAAATGGAGCATGGACTACTTTGGAGGGGATCCGTGCCTGCTCCCTCCTGTAGCATGCAATGCACAAGGCTACGTGACTCGCTTGTGAGTGTCTCTTTTTAGGATATAAGTTAGTCGTACGAACGATATCAACAAACCTTTTGCAGTGACGACATACTCACCTCGCTTGTGATGAAATTTCATGTAATGGCACGCTGACCGTTGATCCTTCCACTGCTACACCCCGATTTTCACAAGCCCTGTCGGTCGGTCTGGCTCCAATACAAGCTTAACCTCATCTTGTTCGCATTCTTTTCTCCCTGTTCCATAAATCCCGCCCCTCACTTCCTCGCAGAATCTTGGCCTCGTTTGTCCCTCCCATCAACGGCACCTTAAGCCCCTACATCCGCTTCTTTCCCTATTTGCAAGAACTGTAAGTATACACTTTATCCTCCTTTATAGAGTTCATGTCTACTACCAATTCTCTGATAGCTTCCATTCCTAGCTATTACCTGAATTCTATCGAATATGAAATGTTACGTGTATGATTTGTCATATTGGTCAATTCTGCAGAAGCGTTTGTTGTGCATGAATAGACTGAGTTCATGCATGTGGCCTGTGGCTACGTGTGAAATCACTCTTGAGAATTCTCAAAAGTGATTTCTGCATGCATAATATGGCCCATGGCGACGTGTGATATGACTGTGTAGTTGTGTGCATGTGTTTCTTCTGCACTCGTCTTCATGTTTCTTCTGCTTGTGTGTCCATGTGCATGCATGTATGTGCGTGCGTGCGTGTGTGTGTGTGCGCGCGCTCGTGCGTCCACCCTCGTCCACCCTCGTCCCTCATGTGTGTATGTGTGCGGTTGCGGGTGTGTCTCTGTATGCTCATGTCCTCACGTCGGCAGGTATCTTAACAACAACAATATCACAGGTGAAGTGGTGAGCCCCAGTGACTAACTCACAAAGTGACTATACCACACGGTGACTTATATCTCACAGTGACTGTATCGCACAACGTCTCACCAACACACAGGACATGTCATGCATCACTCGCACATGCCTATATCACCTCTTGTCGTAGCACTCTTGCTACGTTTTGTTATTGTGCTGTATTTTCCCGCTCGTTCATTGGGAGCGCGTGAAAGCTGCTGGTAGCCTGCCTCGCATTCACTCTCCCGCTCATTCACTCTCCCACTCATTCACTCTCCCACTCATTCACTCTCCCACTCATTCACTCTCCCACTCATTCACTCTCCCACTCACTCACCCTCCCACTCATTCACCCTCCCACTCATTCACCCTCCCACTCATTCACTCTCCCACTCATTCACTCTCCCACTCATTCACTCTCCCACTCATTCACTCTCCCACTCATTCACTCTCCCACTCATTCACTCTCCCACTCATTCACTCTCCCACTCATTCACTCTCCCACTCATTCACTCTCCCACTCATTCACTCTCCCACTCATTCACTCTCCCACTCCTCGAGTCGTCGGAATGGTCCCTCTCTCACTCCCCCTCCCACGCCGACATTCGCATGCAGCCATGGGAGGCGTTGGGAGAGCTGAAGGATCTGAGGGTGTTGGATCTGAGCAGCAACAAGTTCACAGGGAGCGTGAAGGCTGTTGGTAACCTGCCTCTCATGTACTCTCCCACTCCCCCTCGCACCCCAACATCCGCTTGCAGCCATGGGACGCACTGGGTGAGCTGAAGGATCTGAGGGTGTTGGATCTGAGCAGCAACAAGTTCACAGGGAGCGTGAAGGCTGTTGGTAACCTGCCTCGCGTTGCTGATCTGTAAGCTTGCCTTGAGAATTCTTAGGAGCGAGTCGACAAATATGAGGATGTTGGATGGATCTGATCTGAGCAACAACTCGTTCACAGGGAACGTGAAGGCTGTTGTTGGTAACCTGCCTCGTGTTGCTGATCTGTAAGCTTGTCTTAAGAGTTGATTCCCACACCGTCGTCCTGCACCTTCCCTTCCCCCATCTTCCCCCATCTTCCCCCATCTTCCCCCATCTTCCCCCATCTTCCCACACACCTATTCTTGCCTGGCCATTTGCAGGCAGTTGCAGAACAATCGACTGTCTGGTACCGTACCTGCTGCATTCAAGGATAAGTTGTTTTTGAGACGTCTCAAAAGTCTTGCACACCTCTTATTGCCCGACCATTGGCAGGCGACTGCAGAACAATCGACTGTCCGGTACCGTACCCGCTGCATTCAAGGATAATACATGTGATCCGTAAGTGAAGCAGAGGCGCGGAAAGCCCAGTAACAAAACTCACCAACTTGCAAACAGTTGCAGAACTATCGGCTGTCTGGTACCGTACCTGCTGCATTCAAGGACAAGACATGTGACCCGTAAGTGAACGAGAGGAGCGGAGCGGAAAGCGATTCCAGTACAGTAGTAGGTCAGGTCAGTGGTTTAGCGAGGTCTCAAAAGATGGTGGACAGCAGTAGCATGTCGATCCGTTTCATTGTTTGGAGTGCCTTTCCCTCAGGTCTACTTTCGAGGCGGCTCAAAAGTCACCCAAGAGGGAGCAGCAGTATCATATCAACCCGTTGAAACCCTTACATATATACATAGGCATCCATTCATGATGCCAAGGCCAACCCCTCTGTTCGTTCTCTGCCTGCACACTGTACATCTCGTCTTGTGTTGTATATGAACACATGTGCAGATTTACAGGCAACCCTGATCTTTTCTGCCCACCAGGTATATGCATGCACACGTGCTCTTTTTCTTATGGTGTTTGCCCTAGCCCCTTCCCTCTGTGATGTGAATCTCCCCTTGTAGCTTCACACATGCAAGCAAATCACTGACTCTTAGCTGTCTCCCCTCAGCTCACCCTCCCATCCTTGTTTCTCCTGCTTCTCTTGCTTCTCCTCTGAAGTTCTGTCTCAACCAATAAATCATCCTATGTTCCTTTTTCCTCGGCCGTTCGACCTTTTGTATCTGTGCTCGCACCCTCCTGCACTGCAGCCCCTTGCACCATCCTAGACTCCACTGCACCGTCCTGCACCTCCCTTCACCGCCCTGCACCTTCGCTCACCTCCACACTCCTCCATGCACCCCGCAGCACAGACTTCGCCTCTGCAACGCCAACCACCACTGCAACAGTGCCAGAGGCTCAATCTACCTGCAACCCCCTGCACCCCCCTGCACCCCCCTGCACCCTCCTGCACGCTCCTGCACCCTCCTGCACACCACCCCATCCCCTGCATCCCCCCTGCATCCCCCCTGCATCCCCTGCTGCACCGTCCCCAGCACAGACTTAGCCTCAACAGCACCAGCCACCACTGCAACAGTGCCAGAGGCCCCATCTTCCCCGTCCTCCTCCATCTGGCCCCTCATGGTGCTTGCACCCCTATGTACCCCCCTGCACCCCTCTGCACCCCCCCACACCTCCGTGCACACCGCCGCACCCCTCTGCACCCCCCTGCATTTCCTGCACCCCTAGCACAGACTTCGCCTCCGCAGAGCCAACCAGCGCTGCAACACTGCCAGAGGCTCCCCCTTCCTCGTCCTCCTCCATCTGGCCAATTATCGTCGGGATTCTGGCTGGCGTCGTTTGTCTTGTTCTGTTCCTAGCTGCTGCGTGGTGGTGGTGGAGGCGGCGGCGGCGGCAGCAGAAGGAGAGGGTCACGGGGGACGAAGAGGTATTGGAGAAGGACGAAATGAATGACCCGCTGCATGGTGAGAAGGGGGGAGGGCGGTGTCTGGAGCTTGCTTGTGGTGTGTGGCAAAGATTTTTGAGAGGCAGCGAAGGCAGCACCAGCAGAAGCTCATGGTGAAATCAAGAGGGATTGGAGAAGGACGAAATGAATGACCCGCTGCATGGTGAGATGAGAAGTGGGGAGAGGGGCTGGGAGGGAGCTTGCTGTGTGGAGAAGCGACTTTCTAGTCGTTTTAAAAATCACCAGCAGCAGCAGCAGAGGACCAGACCAGGGGAGGAGAAGAGCGATTGGAGAAGGACGAAATGAATGACCCGCTGCATGGTGAGAAAGAGGGGGTGGGAGGGAGCTTGCTAAGTCACAGGCAGGGAGTGGTTGGGCGAAGAGGGAATTGGGAAAGGCGAAATGAGTCACCCTTCCCTACCCTTCACTACTCTTCACTACCCCTCTCTACCCGTACCTACCCCTCATCACCCTTTGCAAAGGAGATTCTGGGCCACCTGCTGCAGCTGCAGCAGTTTCGCCTGGAGGACCTTGAGTTGACCCCTTATTACCCCTCACTGCCCCTCCTCTACTCCTTACTACCCCTCTCTATCCCTCACTATCGCTCTATATTCCCCACCACCCCGTGCAGAGGAGATCCTGGGCCACCTGCAGCAGCTGCAGCGGTTTCGCCTGGAGGACCTTCGCAAGGCAACGAGCGGGTTCAGCAGCAGTCTGCTGCTGGGGGAGGGGGGGTACGGGCTGGTGAACCGAGGGAGCCTCAGGGATGGCAAGCAAGTGGCAATTAAGCTGCTCAAGGTGAGTCGTTGCTTGCTGCTGAAAATGTTCTGTGATAGGCTCTTGTTTGTTGCGTGGCAAATTGGTTGTAACTGTAACAGGGGGGTACGAGCTGGTGTGAGTGAGTCCTCCCTCCCTCTTCCACTGCCCTGTCCCCAAGTTCAGAAAGAGAGGCGGCGCAGCGAGGAGGCGTTCATAAGCGAGGTGAATGCCATCAGCGGTGCCGTGCATCGCAACCTGCTTAGGGCTGCATACATGGGTCCGTTCCCCTGCTCCTCCCCTGCCCCCCTTTCTGCCCCTCCCTCTTCCCCTACCCTGCCCCCTCAACCCCAGAAAGAGAGGCGCGGCAGCGAGGAGGCATTCATAAACGAGGTGAATGCCATCAGCGGTGCCGTGCCGTTCACCGCAACCTGCTGCTGCGGCTGGAGGAGTCCCTTATTCAGCCTTCCCACATCCCCCCTGCTCCTCTGCTTCTCCCTTTCTGGCGTACTCCCTCCCCTGGAACAGAAAGAGAGGCGGGGCAGTGAGGAGGCGTTTATCAACGAGGTGAATGCCATCAGTGGTGCCGTGCATCGCAACCTGCTTAGGGCTGCATACATTGGTCCCCGTCCCTACCCCTCCCCTGCCCTCACCCTGCTCCTCCTCTTCCCCCACCCGCAGAAAGAGAGGCGGGGCACTGAGGAGGCGTTTATCAACGAGGTGAATGCCATCAGTGGTGCCGTGCATCGCAACCTGCTCAGGCTGGAGGGCTTCTGCGTGGAGAGGGGCGAGCGGGCGCTGGTCTTCCCATTCCTGCCACATGGGTCTGTTGCTGACTACCTTAAAGGTGAGGGGTTGAGTGCGGTGCGGTGGGGTAGGGCTGGCAGTGGTGTAGCAGGGCTGTGCATTGCAACCTGCTCCGGCTGGAGGGCTTCTGCGTGAGAGAGGCGAGCGGGCGCTGGTGTTCCCATTCCTGCCGCATGGCTCCGTTGCCGATTACCTCAAAGGTGAGGGGTTGGGTACGGTTGGGTAGGACCAACAGTGGTCAGGCTGGGCGTGCAGTGGTCTGTTCTGGTCCTGACTGCATAAAAGAAAACCTAAAAATATTTCCTCTTCTCTCTCTTCTCCTCGCCCCAACGTGCCAATACACACGCGCCAGGTGGCAGGATGAGAGACGACAAAACGCCGCTGACGTGGAAGCACAGGAGGAAGATTGTACTGGGGATCGCTGAGGGGCTGGCATACATGCACACTGACTGCACTCCCCGACTCATTCACTTCGACATGAAGGTTGAGTGGAAGAGTGAGGGAGTGAGGGTGTGTTATAGCACAACTGACGCCCTGCCACCAGGCTAGCACCACATGATCATAGCTGAGGGGCTGGCATACATGCACACTGACTGCACTCCCCGACTCATTCACTGCGACATGAAGGTGAGTGGGGGAGTGAGTGGGCGTGATTGTTTACAGCACAAGCAATGTCCTGCCAGCCACCAGGCTAATATTACAAGATCACAGCAGAGGGGCTGGCTTACATGCTCATGGACTGCACTTTCAGGCTCGCTCCCAGGCTCACTCCCAGGCTCACTCCCCGACTCGCTCACAGGCTCACCCCCAGGCTCATTCACTGCGACATGAAGGTGAGTGAGGGAGTGAGTGAGTGTGTTTATTCATTGCACAACTGATGTCCTGCCAGCCGGCCACCAGGCTAATATTACAAGAGCACAGCAGAGGGGCTGGCTTTCATGTACACAAACTGCACTCCCAGGGTAACCCCAGGGTCACCCCCAGGGTCACCCCCAGGGTCACTCCCAGGGTCACCCCCAGGGTCACCCCCAGGGTCACCCCCAGGGTCGCTCCTAGGCTCATTCTCAGGCTCACTTCCAGGCTCATTCTCAGGCTCACTTCCAGGCTCATTCTCAGGCTCACTTCCAGGCTCATTCTCAGGCTCACTTCCAGGCTCATTCCCAGGCTCACTTCCAGGCTCATTCCCAGGCTCACTTCCAGGCTCATTCCCAGGCTCACTTCCAGGCTCATTCTCAGGCTCACTTCCAGGCTCATTCTCAGGCTCACTTCCAGGCTCATTCTCAGGCTGACTTCCAGGCTCATTCCCAGGCTCACTTCCAGGCTCATTCCCAGGCTCACTTCCAGGCTCATTCCCAGGCTCACTTCCTTGCTCATTCTCAGGCTGACTTCCAGGCTCATTCTCAGGCTGACTTCCAGGCTCATTCCCAGGCTCACTTCCAGGCTCATTCCCAGGCTCACTCCCAGGCTCATTCCCAGGCTCACTTCCAGGCTCATTCCCAGGCTCACTTCCAGGCTCATTCTCAGGCTCACTTCCAGGCTCATTCTCAGGCTCACTTCCAGGCTCATTCTCAGGCTCACTTCCAGGCTCATTCTCAGGCTCACTTCCAGGCTCATTCCCAGGCTCACTTCCAGGCTCATTCCCAGGCTCACTTCCATGCTCATTCTCAGGCTCACTTCCAGGCTCATTCTCAGGCTCACTTCCAGGCTCATTCCCAGGCTCACTTCCAGGCTCATTCCCAGGCTCACCTCCAGGCTCATTCCCAGGCTCACTTCCAGGCTCATTCTCAGGCTGACTTCCAGGCTCATTCTCAGGCTCACTTCCAGGCTCATTCTCAGGCTGACTTCCAGGCTCATTCCCAGGCTCACTTCCAGGCTCATTCCCAGGCTCACTTCCAGGCTCATTCCCAGGCTCACTTCCAGGCTCATTCCCAGGCTCACTTCCAGGCTCATTCCCAGGCTCACTTCCAGGCTCATTCCCAGGCTCACTTCCAGGCTCATTCCCAGGCTCACTTCCAGGCTCATTCCCAGGCTCACTTCCAGGCTCATTCCCAGGCTCACTTCCAGGCTCATTCCCAGGCTCACTTCCAGGCTCATTCCCAGGCTCACTTCCAGGCTCATTCCCAGGCTCACTTCCAGACTCATTCCCAGGCTCACTTCCAGGCTCATTCCCAGGCTCACTTCCAGGCTCATTCCCAGGCTCACTTCCAGGCTCATTCCCAGGCTCACTTCCAGGCTCATTCCCAGGCTCACTTCCAGGCTCATTCCCAGGCTCACTTCCAGGCTCATTCCCAGGCTCACTTCCAGGCTCATTCCCAGGCTCACTTCCAGGCTCATTCCCAGGCTCACTTCCAGGCTCATTCCCAGGCTCACTTCCAGGCTCATTCCCAGGCTCACTTCCAGGCTCATTCCCTCCCCCCTCTTCCCGTTTGCTCTTTCAGGCCGAGAATGTGCTGCTAACAGAGGACAACGACCCGGTCATTTGCGACTTCGGCCTGTCAAAGCTGGTGGAAGTCGACGTGATACCCTCAACTGCCAGGGGAAACAGACCCAGTGCAGCAGTGCGGGGAACCCTAGGCCACCTCGCTCCAGGTAAACCCCCTTCCCTAGGCCACCTCGCTCCAGGTAAACAGCCTCCACTAGCCTTCTGAGGAAATCACTCTGACTCAAAGCTGGTTGAAGTCGATGTAATACCCTCAGCTGCCAAGGGAAACAGATCCAGTGCAGCAGTGCGCATAACCCTAGGCCACCTCGCTCCAGGTAAACCCCCTTCCCTTGGCCACCTCGCTCCGGGTAAGCCCCCGTCCCTAGGCCACCTCGCTCCAGGTAAACAGCCTCCACTAGCCTTCTGAGGAAATCACCCTGACTCAAAGCTGGTGGAAGTCGATGTAATACCCTCAGCTGCCAAGGGAAACAGACCCAGTGCAGCAGTGTGCATAACCCTAGGCCACCTCGCTCCAGGTAAACCCCCTTCCCTAGGCCACCTGGCTCCAGGTAAACAGCCTCCACTAGGCCACCTCGCTCCAGGTAAACCCCCTTCCCTAGGCCACCTCGCTCCGGGTAAGCCCCCATTCCTAGGCCACCTCGCTCCAGGTAAACAGCCACCACTAGCCTTCTGAGGAAATCACCCTGACTCAAAGCTGGTTGAAGTCGATGTAATACCCTCAGCTGCCAAGGGAAACAGACCCAGTGCAGCAGTGCGCATAACCCTAGGCCACCTCGCTCCAGGTAAACACCCCTCATGTGCTTTCCGACTTTTGAGACGTCTCAAAAGTCGCATAACCCTAGGCCATCTTGCTCCAGGTAACCACCCCTCATCAGCTTTTCAAGGAAAGCACCCTGTGATCAAGCCTTTAGCGCTGCTGCACAGGTCATCTGGCATGTCTAGGATGGTGGTGGGGGAGGCATGTCGCTGTGAAGAATTCTCAACAGCAACTGTAGAACCTTGCTGACCAGATGCTGTAGGCATGGCAGAAGGTCCTACATCGCTGTAGAAGTAGATAGAACCTTCTGCCATGTGCGCGTTCTCACGTTTGTGTATCCGTCTTTGTTCCATCATCCTTCTCCGACCTGTTCACTTGATTGTGTTCTCTCATCCCCGTTATAGAGCTCTACAATACTGGCAAGTGGTCGGAGAAGACTGATGTGTTTGGCTTTGGCGTGCTGCTAGTGGAGCTCGTTGCTGGCTGCAGTGTGTTCAACCTGCCCATGGGCCAACGTGCACCTAATACCAGACGTGTTCTCCCCTACCCCCCCTGTACCCCTTATAGAGCTCTACAATACTGGCAAGTGGTCTGAGAAGACTGACGTGTTTGGCTTCGGTGTGCTGCTAGTTGAAGTCATTGCTGGCTGCAGCGTTTTCGACCTGCCCATGGGCCAACGTGCACCTAATACCAGACGTGTTCTCCCCTACCCCCCCTGTACCCCTTATAGAGCTCTACAATACTGGCAAGTGGTCTGAGAAGACTGACGTGTTTGGCTTTGGTGTGCTGCTAGTTGAAGTCATTGCTGGCTGCAGCGTTTTCGACCTGCCCATGGGCCAACGTGCACCTAATCCCAGACGCCAAGACAGAGACAGAGAGAGAGGGGGAGAAGGAGGGGGAGACGGAGGGGGGAAAGGCAAGGATGAGAAGGGAGGAACGGAGAGGGAAGGGAGAGTAGAGGAGGAGAAGGAAGGAGGAACCAAGGAGGATGAAGAGAGAGTGGAGGAGGGGGAGAAGGAGGGGGAGAAGGAGAGGGAGGAGGGGGGTGAAAAGGAGGAAGGAGATGAGATGTCACTGTGGGAGTGGGTGACGGGGGAGATGCAGCAGGGGCATGTGGCCACGCTGGTGGACGCGCAGATCCGATCCCACCCGGCTGACTGCGACCCACTGGAAGTGCAGGTGAGGCGGCAAACTTGAGTTAGAGTTGAGTTGTGGGTGTAAATGACAGATGACAGATGGCAGGGAGTGGGTGACGGGGGAGATGCCGCAGGGGCATGTGGCCACGCTGGTGGACGTGCAGATCCGATCACACCCGGCTGACTGCGACCCACTAGAAGTGCAGGTGAGGGGGAGTGGCTGACAGGTGAGAAGCAGAGGCGAGAATGTGGGTGTTTGCAGCATTCACCGTCAACCGGCCCACCATGAGCGAGTGTGTTACGATGCTGCAGGGCACGGGCCTGGCTTGTCTAACCCCACACCCTGTTCCTAAACTCTCTCACTGCATCCCTTCCCCACCTTCCCCACCTCCCCCCTCTCCCCTTCCCCCTCTTCCACAGGTCTTCCTGCAGGTGGCTCTCCTCTGTCTGCAGCAATCCCCTTCAGACCGCCCCACCATGAGCGAGTGTGTGACCATGCTGCAGGGCACGGGCCTGGCGTGTAGGTGGCAGCTGTGGCACAACACAGGTCTGGAGGATGGGCTGCAGCCTCCTGACATGCCTGTGCCGGATCACGTTGTTTCGGACTCTAGTGAAAGTTACATGCCCCTCGATATTTCAGGACCACGTTAAGTCGATTGGTTATGTTATGATGCCATCTTGCGCTCGCCTTTCTTTCCTGCTCAATATGGTGCTGACTCTTCGAGGAGTGCTGGGCATTGCCCACCCTTCATTTAAGCCATTTCAGCCCATTGGTTAGCAGAGCAAGCCTTACCCGCACTGACGCTCCTCAAATAATAACGACTAACACTGCCATTGTTAGTGTTATTGTTATTATTGATACTATGTAAATTATATCATTAAGGTACGCCTTGTTGCATCTGTAGGGCACATAATGATATTCAATGAATCCCCCAGGGAGATGTTGTTAACGATGTACCATCTATAACAAAGATGAGCGAGTCCCAGCCCATCATTTTTATCACACCAGGCAGATTTACCGCACCGCACCGCGCGTCGTCCTTGTCGCAGCGCGAACAAACAGCGCCCTGCCCAGCCAATCAACGTCCCACCCTCCGCCCAGCAGACAAACACAGCGCCCTTCGTCTGTCACGGGATTGGGCAGCATCGCTTCGCGTGTATCTCTCTGGCAACTTCTCCCTAGCCAAACAATCCCAACCAAACCACAACCAATTGGCTGGCAAACCAGCCCCCCCAACCAAACGCGCAGTTTCCGAGGTCTGAAAGTCTTGTCCAGTGGCTTGTTGAACTGTTTTGCTGAAATTTAACAAGCCTTTCCAACGGTTTCAGACCGATGCAGGTACTCTTTAGAACGTAGTTAACCCTTTTGAGCCGTTTTGTTAGAAACTGGTACAAGGTCCACCTCCACCACCACCCAGCTAACACCAGTCAGCCCGTGCTGGTAGAAGACATGTCTCATAACTAGTTTACCAAACCTGATTACTAGGTTTTAACCACTAAGTTGCTTAGCGATTGGGATTGGGAGTTGGCTGCCTGGCTGGATTGTCAGCGGATGCCAACCTTAGGTTAAATCAATAGGCTACGCACTTTCAGGCGTCTCACCGCAATTGTAGGGAACATTTTAAGCCATGCGCGTTATACGTCCGCCTCTTCATAGATATCGTCCTAGGCACCGACAACATCGGAAATGCCGACTCACTTAAGAGCTAGATCGGTTGATGCAGTTGTAGCAGCCAGTCAGCCAGCGAGCACCATGCAGAGGCGATTGCATCCGCGAATACAGCGGCGATCATTAACGCGACTACAATGGCAATTATTCTCGCCAATACAGTGCCGATTACTCGTCGCCACTCTCTCACTTACGCTGCTCGCTCTTCGCTCCGCATTTGCCAAGGTATCTCCTAGATCATATACGCGCTGCTATCTTGTCTCATTAGAGACGACAGCGCGTTCAGTGCTTTCAGTGTGTCCTGTTGCCCCAGCGTTCTATGTATCCTGTTACCTTGCTGTCGATCATGTCACTCGAGGCCCTCACATCGATTTCAGAAACAATTCCTCGCTAATCTCCTGGTCTAATCACACGTTCCATTCCCGTCTATTCCGCACGTTATGCTCCCATCCAACTACACGCTCCATGCTAATCAGCCTATGGCGAATCATTTGCCGCGCGGCGAGAAGCCTCCAGAAAAAGCTGAGCTCAAAGCCTTGATCCCAAGGAGGCGTCTGGGGTTCTACTTTTTCGCAGAAGGCGGGCAGGATAAAGTCCTGGGTGATTTTCTCGTTAAAGAGTCAGCCAAACCGCAGACACAATCTTTTGAGGCGCCTCAAGAGGATAAAGTCCTGGGTGACTTCCTTGTAAAAGAGGCGGCCAAACCGCAGACACAATCATTGCAGCTGGTGCAGCAGCAGGAAAGGCAGCAGCAGGGAAAGCAGCACCAGGAACATCAGGGACAGAAAAAGCAGGAACAGGAAAAGCAGCAGCAGCAGCAGCAGCAGCAGCAGCAGCAGCAGCAGCAGCAACAACAACAACAAGATAAGCAGCAGCAGCAATTGCAAGACAACGAACAAGGTGTGGGGGAAGAAACGAATCAGGAGCAAATAGTAGGACAGGTGTGGGCGGACGAGCATGCATTGGCCCGGGCGTTGGGATCGGGGGAAGATGTAGCGCATTTGCCGCCACAGGAAGCCCAACCGCCGCCGCAACAAGCGCAACCGCCGCCGCAGAAAGAGCTGGTTGAGACGGAGACGCAAGCGAGACAGCAGGAAGAAAAGAGTTCGGGCGGACACAACAAGCACAGTCCACAGGAAAGAGCAGTTGAGAATTCTCAAAAGCGATTTCAGCAAGAAGAGAAGAGTTCGGGCGGAGACAACAGGGACAGTCCACAGGAAAAAGTCGGTCAGCAGGGGGAAAACTCGAGACAGACGGAGGTTCAGCAGGAAGAAGGGGTTGCAAAGGAAGAGAAAGAGGGTCAGCGAAGCAGACACGAGGGGGAGACGAAGCAGGAGGAGCAAGGTAGGGGCGGGGAGCACTGGGAGAGAGGTGATTGGGAGGTCGTTCCAGGTGTGACCTCCCAAAGAAACGCGGAGGGAAAGGCGGATGGAAAGGCGGAGGGAAAGGCGGAAGGAAAGGCGGAGGGAAAGGCGGATGGAAAGGCGGAGGGAAAGGCGGATGGAAAGGCAGCAGGAAAGGCGGAAGGAAAGGCGGAGGGAAGGGGAAAGGGAGAGGCGGAGGGAAACGCAGGGGTGAAAGAGGATGGTGGTGGGAGGCCGAGTTACAGGCAGGGGTCGAGATTCGACAGAGTGGCAGCGAGGAATGCTATGCGGCGGAGGAGAGAGGGCGCGTGCTGGAGCAAGGAGGAGCGACACCTGTACCACACGGTGAGAAGTGATGAGCGCATGGGTTGTGTGGGTACAGTCGTCTGATAATGTGATTAGATGGTACACGGTGTGCCATAGCAGCGAGGAATGCTATGCGGATGAGGAGAGAGAGCGTGTGCTGGAGCAAGGAGGAGCGGCACCTGTACCACACGGTATGCAAGCACTCCTTCCTTCCTCACAGCTGCGCTCACAGCGGCGCTCACAACGGCGCTCACAGCTGCGCTCACAGCGGCGCTCACAGCGGCGCTCACAGCTGCGCTCACAGCGGCGCCGGTGCGTGAGGCGAAGCAGAGGGAGTGAATATATGGAAATGTAACAGCTGTGAGCGCAGCACCCGCGCCGCTGTGAGCGCAGCTGTGAGCAAGTCCGTGAGCGCAACTTTCACTTTCCGTGATAGAATATCTGTTACACTTCTATGGATGTATGACGCACTCCGAGACGCACCAGCAGTCCTCAAAACCCCTTTCCCCCTCGCCCTCCCCACTCCCCCACCCCCTCACCTCCCTCCCCACCCTCTCGCCTCCACCACTCCTCCTACCTCTCTACCCACTCTCACACACCCCTCTTGAAGAGAGGGTATTTTTGAGACGTCTCAAAAAAACTCCCTCCCCACCCTCTCGCCTCCACCACTCCCCGTACCTCTCTACCCACTCTCACACACCCCCTCTGCCCTCACCATCTCACACACAGGCGAACCCAGACCCGCCGTCAGCAGCGTTCCAGGCAGCAGTGCGCGCGCGCGCATGAGGCGATGCAGAGTGCATGTAAGTCTGTGCATCATTGCTTGCTTGTTTCTCCTCCCCCACCCACCCCGCTCCCCCCCCCCCCCCTCTCCCCACACAGGCGAATCCAGTTCCCCCGTCAGCAGCGTTCCAGGCAGCAGTGCGCGCGCATGAGGCGATGCAGAGGGAGTGCATGGGAACTGGGAAAAGGGAGGAGTGGGAATGGGTGCGCAGTGGTGACTGGTGAGTGATTTTTCTAGAAATTACAGAGGGAGAGGGTGGGGGGAAGGGAAAGTTGCGCTGGTGCGTCTGTGAGTGGGAGGCAGTGTGCGTTTGTGAGTGAGAGAGAGATACAGAGAGTGCAGGCGCATTAGGCATTGCAGAGGGAGAAGTGAGGAGTGGAGATGGGTGCAGAGCGATGACTGTTGAGTGCATTTTTGGGAAGAGGAAACGGCAGGGGGGGACGAGAAGGAGGGTGAGATGGTGGGGGAAAGTGTGCATGCATACATGCACCCATGCACCCATGCACCCATGCACCCATGCATACATGCACCCATACTTGCACCCATGCATGCATACATGCACCCATGCACCCATGCATTCATACATGAACCCATGCACCCATGCATGCATCCATGCATGCACCCATGCATGCATCCATTCACCCATGCACCCATGCATGCACCCATGCACCCATGCATGCATACATGAACCCATGCACCCATGCATGCATCCATGCATGCACCCATGCATGCATCCATTCACCCATGCACCCATGCATGCATACATGCACCCATGCACCCATGCATGCATCCATGCACCCATGCAATGCAACCATGCATCCAAGCAACCATCCGTCCATGCACCTGCCCACGCCAACAGGGAGAAGGACAGGCCTCGATACTGACCAGAAAGAAAACCCTGCCTTCGTGAAAGATATGAAAAATACTCTGCACCATGCATCCATCCATGCATCCATCCATGCATCCACCCATGCGCCCATGCACCTGCCCACGCCAACAGGGAGAAGGACAGGCCTCGATACGGACCAGAAAGAAAGCCCTGCCAGTATATTTACATGCCTCCCTTCAACCGAGGTCGGCTTTTTTTTTCCTCCCCACTCTTCCCCGTTCCCCTCCTCCCGCTTGTATTCTTTCCTCCCCCTCTCCCTTTCTTCCTGCTTCTATCCAATACAATCACCATAGCCGTACCCCCATGCCCTTCCGCGTCTTCCCCGTGCACGTACCTCTTTTCCTTGATTTCTTTCTTTCATTCTTTCATTCACTTTCCTTTCGTTCATTCTTTTTTTTGAATCTCAAAAGGGCGCTCTTGCCAGCCCTGATCATCACCACGCCCTGATCATCATGCTCCTTTCTGTCTTGTCCTCCCTCTCCCCTTTCTCCTTTCCCCCCATACCCCCCCCCCCCCCCCCCTCCCCCTCTCTCTTTATCCCCTCTCGCCCCAATCAGGTCTGGGCAACCGCTTAGTGAACCATGTGAATGCGTTCGTGCTGGCGCTCATAACCCAACGAGCCATCATCACCACGCCCTGGTCCTTTGTAGTTCGCCGATTCTGCAACCCCTTCAGCAACTCAACCTCCTGGACTCTGCCCTGGCCCGTGCACAGGTGAGGTTTCCAGAATAAGCACACTGGTTACTTTCCTATTTCACTCAATAATCAAACCAATTCTGCAATCCCTTCAACTCTCCACCTTGTAAATGCTGCCACAGGTGAGGTTTCCCCTGGCCTGTTCACAGGTGAGGTTTCCCCTGGCCTGTTCACAGGTGAGGTTTCGCCTGGCCTGTTCACAGGTGAGGTTTGCCCTGGCCTACCACGTGCGGGGCTGGCAGAATTTTTGAGGGGTCTAACGAATCAACTCCCCCTTTCCCTCCTTTCCTGGTGCAGCTCGTTCATTGGCGCGGTTAAGAACCGAACGCTGGAGTTTAAAGACATAGTTAAGTACCATGCAGAGCGAGGAGCAGCAGGGGGAGCAGCAGGGGGCGCAGCAGCAGGAGGGGAAGCAGCAGGGGGAGCAGCAGGGGGAGCAGCAGGGGGCGCGGCAGCAGGAGGGGGAGGAGCCGCAGGGGGGGATGGATTGTTGGAGCTGTCAGCGGAAGAGGTGGCTGCGTTGATTCGCAACCGCACTGTGAACATTCACCTCGCTGGCAGGTGAGTGAGGGGGTTTTTCGAGGCGCCTCAAAAGTCACCTGGCTGGCAGGTGAGAGGGTAGGGGGGAGGTGGAGGGGGGAGTGGGGGAGTGGGGGACACGGGGTGGTATTGGGGGAAAGGGCGAGTGGGGTTGCTGCCATTAAGAGGGAAAAGATGGCTGCGTTGATTCGCAACCGCACTGTGAACATTCATCTTGCCAGCAGGTGAGAGGGTAGGGGGGGGAGAAGAAAGGGGTGGGTTGGAGAGGGGGGGGGGGGGGAAGGCGGGTGGGGGGGGGGTTTGCTGTCTGTCTGTATGCAAAGGAGATGGCTGCGTTGGTTTTTTAGAATTCTCAAAAACCAGCTCGGGTGGGGGTTTGCTGTCTGTCTGTATGCAAAAGAGATGGCTGCGTTGGTTTGCAACGCACTGTGAACATAGGAGACTTTTGAGTCGACTCAAAAGTCACCTCATTTGGTTTGCAACGCACTGTGAACACAGGAGACTTTGGAATGAAGTGGGATGAAGTGGGGCCGTGGAAAGGAAGGACAGATGGGGTGGGGCTGCTGGCCTCACGCCTCTAGGGAAGAAGACATAGTTGCCTGATTCGCAACAACACTGTGACTGTTCACCTGTTTTTGAGGCGCCTCAAAAGAAGACATGTTTGGGTTGATTCGCAACCACACTGTGACTGTCCACCTGGCGGGCAGGTGAGGGGGAGTGAAGAAGAGGGAGGTGGAGTCTGGAGATGAGAGGGGGAGGTGAGGGGGAGTTGAAACATTGAAACCGTTGGAACAGATAAAGGGGAGGGGGAGGGGGAGGGGGAGGGGGAGGGGGAGGGGGAGGGGGAGGGGGAGGGGGTTAGGGTGGTGGGGTGGAAGGCAAGGCACACACACGGATTGTCCGTTTCGTTATCTGTACCCAACCCAACCCAACCCAACCCATTCCTGTCTGTGTGTGCTGTGTCTCTTCCTTTTCCAAATGTTCTGTACCCCACCTCCGTCTCATCCGTAGAGCCGGAGGTGCACACGTCAGCCATCTACTGACTTTCTTGCTGAAAGTGACTTCCCGACTGCAGCTCGCCCAGTCCACATGGCTGACGATGTTCTGTACCCCACCTCCCTCCGCCTCATCCGTAGAGCCGGAGGTGTACACGTTCTGTGTATCTCCCTTTCCCGTGTGTTACTGATCCGTGGGACAGCATCAACGCAGCGGTGCTCTGGAGCATGAGCAGGGCTATCGACGTCTGCTTCTCTATCTGTATCTGTTCCCGTGCGTGTTCTTCCCTTGCCCGTGTGTTTGTACCCACGTAGAGGAGCGCACACGTTTTGTACAGACGCATGGGAGAGCATCAACGAAGCTGTTTTCTGGAGCATGGCAATCGATGTCTACCTCTTTATCCGTTGCACCCAGCCCAATCCTGTGTGTGCCTCCCCCCTGCCCGTGCGTTTGTATTTTCAACCAGAGGCTCGCACACGTTCTGCACGGATCCATGGGAGAGCATCAACGAAGCTGTGTTCTGGAGCATGGCAATCGATGTCTACTTCGTGCCCAGCCTCTACTACCTCCCCACATACGCTGTGAGCCCCTTCTGTGCGGCCTCCTCATGTGTTCTGGCGCATGGTTATTGAGCATGGTCATTGAGCATGCTTACGAATTTATTGATACATCCCGGTATATAATCTAGTTTTTCGAGGGCGCCTTAAAAGTGAACCAAAGCGGAAATTCTCCCCCTTTTTCTGTGCCAGTTCATGTAGGAACTTCTTGCTTATAAGCCTTTGACTGTGGACATCAAATCACCTGGCACTTGCCTGACCAGCTCCCCACACCTCCTCCAACCTCTCCCTCGTCCCACCCACCAGGCAGCTCTGAATAAATTATTCCCTGACCACCGAGTCTTGACTCACACCGCTCGGTTTCTTCTGCACCCAGACAACCGGCTCTGGGCGGCGATCACTCGTCTCTTCCACGCCAACCTGGCGCACCACTCCCACCGAGTCGGCATTCAGGTACTGCAGTGCGGTGCACTGAGGTGGAACGAGGTGCAGGTGCAGAGAGGTGCCGATCACCGAGTCTTTTCTCCCTCTCTATCCTCCCCTCTTTCCCGCCGCTCCTCTCCCTGCCACCCTTTCCCTCTTCCCCCCTCTCCTCTTTTCTCTCCCCCCACCATGCCTTCATGTGCCGCCATCCTCAGATTCGGTCGGCACTGGGAATCAATCTCCCATTGGCTGACCGTGTCCTATCATGTGCTGCTGACGTGGCACGGTACCTCCCTGCAATTGGCTCATCCAACCAGGTCAGCTTTCTATATCTCGCGCTCCCTAGCTCCTTCATTGCTGCCTTCCTCCTCTCCCTACTGTGTTTGTTGGGAGACCTTTCTCCGTTCCTTGTCGTGGGATGAGTCGATTTTTGAGTCGACTCAAAAATCGACTCTCTCCGTTCCTTGACGCACGAGAGCCCGTACTGTTATTGTATCAAACCCTTGAACTGGATCGTCCTCTTATTCCAGATTTATTTTGTTCTGGTTTGACACAGCCAGCCAACGGCACCTTTCAAGAAGCACCAGAAGTAACGGAGGGATAGGGGGAGGGAGGGACGGTAGGAGTGGTGGTGGCATCGCTGAGTGCGCAGCACTGGATGGACATGCAAGGGAGATACGCTTTGCACGGCGCACATGACTCCACCCTCCTCAGCTTCTGCACGTGAGTACACTCGCTTGATAATATTTTGTTCGCATGCAGATATGCATTTGTTATATGATGTATTTGCACGATGAGACATGCATGTGTGCACTTCCTCTCTTCTGTGGATGTATGTGTGTGTGCTCCCTCCTCTTCCCACCTATCAGGTTGAGCGATCAGAGGGCGGAGAAGTGGACAGATACGCAATTCGAGTTTGCTGTCATGGAGATGTGGCTCCTCAGCTTCTCGTGCGTTGCTCTTCTTTGCACCCCCTTTTTTGGTCATTCGAGGCAGCAAAATCATACTTTGAGTTTGTCTGGTCGTTCCTCCGCTTCTCGTACTTTTCTTTCTTCTGTGCTCTTTTCTTCCCTTCCTCACAGAGACCAACAATTCACTTTATTCACACACCTACTGTTCTTTCCTTCCCCTCCTCACAAAGATCGCATATTCATTTCAGACTTCTCATCCTTTGGCCTTGGGCCTTACTGTGGTTGTGATACACGCCTTTGAGATATTCCTAGCGCTCTAAAATCCATTCCCCTCACAGGGATCGAATTCTCATTTCAGACTTCTCATCCTTTGGCTGGGTGGCTCTGGGCCTGGCGGGTATTGACGGGTATTCCATGGCGGTTGCTGTGATACACGCATTTGAGATCGACTGGCGTAAAGAAAATCGCCCCGTATGCGTTCCAATCTCACCAGAGCCTTGCGATGTGCTTGGCGTCTCTGCTTCACTTGTAAGCCACTTCGTGTATAAATGCATGCTGAAATTGTACTATGTTACAAGATAACGTGCTAACATATTTTTTTTTTTTGTATTTTCGTTATCCAGTCTATGTGCAAGGGAAACCACACTGTGGAGGGTGTGGAGCTAGAGGGAGACCGATTGCGTGACTATTCTACATGTCCTGGATCGTATTTGGGTATAAGAGATATGAGATCTATTTGATCCGTTTGAGTTTGCTTGTGTTGCGACTTATCAGTGAAATCCTAAAAGAATCCATCCATACAGTAGCCTTCCCACAATATCGCGGACAAGTGACAGATTGTGGAGGCACGGGGGTGCCAAGCCGGGAAATGCGCTCCCCTGGTCCTCGCCGTAACTGGAGGGCCAGCCTCCCAGCAGCAAATTTTTCTTTTCGGATGAGGCCATGGCGGTGGGAGAAACTTGAACTGCAACAGCAAATGTTTTGTGTGCCATATTCATTTCTCTGCTTTCTCAAACATTTTTCTCTGTAAAAGAAGCAGTGACGCAAGCATTTTCGCAAACGACGACGAATTTTCTGAAGCATACGAATTTTCCGCTGACTCCCGAGCCCATTGTCGCCTTTATGCTTTGCGGTGCGCCCTTTATGTTATGTCGTTTTGCCTCGGCTCACTCACTACACACGCAACGCCAGAAGCCGAATACTGTACAATCAAATATCTTTTAGGACGTGGGCCCAATTGAGTTGTTCGCGACTGATCTGATCGGGTTGGATCTGATCAGGTTGCTTGTGTTCGCAGTGCCCGAGCCGCCCGATCAGAAATGTATTTTGAAGAAAGTCTCAAACGCTTGCTTAGCAAGCGCAGCACATTTACCTCGCAAATTCGTCCACATTCTAGCGATATTGGCGAAAATACGTCTTTTTGCGAAATTTTCGTTTCCATGTAAGTGCAACATTGTAACTACTCGCAAGCGTCGCTGTGGGTCCTGATCACGTGCAATCAGGTGATCGCCTGTGATCGATGAAAATCGACTTTGATCGGGGTGAAAGGCGGGTCTGATTGATTTGGGGCGATCAGTTGATCGAGCCTATCAAACTCGATTGGGCCCACGTCTTAGCTTGCTGCTATGGGCGAATCCAGCCTGTTCTGGAGCACATTGCTTCTTGTTTACTACTGTACTGTACTGTACCCCCCCAACATTTGTGAGATGTTTCACCGTTTCCCGAAAGTTTTCTCCTCTTTTCCATGACAAGCACAAGTGGCGAAGACAAGCCAGCCACACCCAACCAACTCCGCGTTCACTCCTGGAAGCACGCGTGCTGTCAGTTGCCTTTTGGCCCCATTCGTGCCGATGTCGGTTGGAGTGCAGAGCAGGGCAGCCATTCCCCCCCTGCTCCACCACTCCTGTTTGAGCGCGTGTGATGAAACGCGGAAGACAGCTGTACGGTCTGTTTTGGTTCCAAGTTCTCTCGTCCTGGTTTAGTGGGTTTGAATGAGGTACTGAGTCGTGATCACTCGTCAACGATGCAACATTTGTCAACTTCCAACCCCGCCAACACCCCCGTCAACCCCACCCCCCCCCAACGCACAAGCAGCTGGGAGGTGGTTGTCAACCACACAACACTCGCGCCCCGGATAAATATCGGTCGTGGTTGCCGATAGTTTCCCGGCGTTTCGTATTGGTTCTGCACGATGTAAGTATTTCCAGTACGGCCGAGTTTCCAAGCTGCTTGAAGTTTCCAGTACCTCAGCTACTCCAAGCAGTCTCTCCTGCTGGCAATCCTTGTCATGTCAACGTCATCATCAGCCAACACGAGTGAGCCATACTTAGAAGCCTCCCGCTATCTTATCTTTCCCAAGCACACACTCTGTCCATAATGTCTCCTCTCCTCCCCACGAGTCCTCTGACTTCTGTTACTCTTTGTCAGACGCTGCCACTTTTTTCCCCAGCGCCACAAAAATATCGCATCGCATCACGTCGCCTAGTTAGCTCCGCTTTCGCTAATTTTGAGGCATAACGCAGTCGTTACCTCTATGTCTGTGCATAAAATAGAATCACCGAGAGGTCGTTCTATCGCCTGTTGTCATAATGCCGCACGCAGTCGGTAACTCTGGGTCGGATAAACTGCAAGCACTTCAGACGTGTGTTGAACCTGCAATGATGCTTTCTTCAGGAGCCGTTTTACTCAACCGCGATCGTGCAGACGGCGTAAGTGAAGAAGACGTGAAAAGGATTTCGCTTAGTGACGGTTTATGTGGAGACGTAATGACAGTACTGGCTGTTACGGGATCATGCGCGGAAGCGACGGAGCATGGCGACGCGGGTAGCGATCGCAGCAGTCGTCGCAGCAGTCGTCGCAGCAGTCACTCTAACAGTCTTCGCAGCAGTCGTTCCAACAGTCCCGACGATTTCGATTTCGCGAGGGCCTTCATGGGGGTCCCGCGACTCTCGTTTCAAGATGACGACTCTTGGTCAGACTTCTTCTCGGGAAGCACGGCAGCAACCGCGTCGGCCGACTCGCCGGCGTTTCGGACCCACAGCGGTTCCCTCGAGCGTTTTATCAGCGTCTTCCGTGGGGAGTGTCACGGCGGCGGTGCTGACGGCGAGGTTTTCCCAGTCGTTGACAGCGGCCGAGACGCAGACGGAGACGGAAAACCGGATGTGAAAGTGATACCGCTTGTTTTACCACCAGCTGTGCCTGAACTCGCATCTGTTGAGTGCTCTTCGAGGCGTGTCGAAGCTCGAGTCGAAGAAGAGGAACCATTAGAAGTATCTCGTGCGTTGGATCGACAAGCGGCTGCACTTCAAGCGGCGCAACGCTCTCGAACTGTCGACACGGCCCGTGCGGCGAAAGAACGTTTTGATCGGTCCGTGCGAGGGTGTTCAACGGTGTCGTTCCGAAAAGCCGCGTCAGCCGCGATAGATGCGCTGCATCTGGACCGAGACGGTGCGACTCATGGTGCTTCTACGGAATGTGATTATACGACATGTGATTCTATGACATGGGATGCACGCGATGGCTCGAGAGGTCGTGACGAACGGGCTCCGTTAGAAGCTGTCTCGAAGCAGCCGTTAGTGGCTCCCAAACGGAGCCTGTGGAGAAAATTTCGCGCGTCGGCGCCGTCGACAGAACCGCGACCCGCCGCGCCGACCATTTCCGCTGCGGCGACGGATACGACGGGTGCGACGACGAATGCGAGGGTTGCGAGAGTTGCGCCGGCTGCGAGCGTTGCAATGGTTGCGAGGGATGCGAGGGTTGACATGAAACGTGCGATCTCATCGTTCGATTCGCCGTCCGAATCGCCGTGTCTTGGCTCGACGTCCGAGGATGGGCGACGTCATCCTTGGGACGAAAGTGATAAGAAAGCCAATTTCAGTGTCGCGGACACGTCATCAGTCTTCTCGAAGGAGCTAGTCGACGAGGCTGCTGACCTGGCGGAGCGTTGGAGCCAATTGCGTCGAGACACGTGTACGACGGAGGCTTGGAGCAGAAGTAGTTCTACAAACACCAACCCTGACTCGCAGGAAGGGGCCGACAATTCGCAAGAATCTGTTCGCGAAGCGGAGAATGGGACGGAGAAGCGGAAGGCAAACCGTGTGGAGGAGGTTCGGATACGAGACAGGTTGATTCGAACCGCTTCATGGAACAAGTTTTGGGAACCGGAGCAGGACGGTCGGCCAAAGCAGGCGCAGCAGCCGCGGCAAGAGCAGGAGAAGGGAGAGAAAGAGAACAATGCGGAAAAGGGCGTTGAGGTGACAGTTAAAACTGCCAGTGGTGTGTCAGGCGGCCAACTCCAAGGTTTTCCTTGTGCCAAGCCTAAGGCTCTGCTGTGGGAGCAGTATCAGTCCCAGAAAAAGGAAGAGGTAGATGAAAGGCAGCAGAAGCAGGAGGAGGAGCAGGAAGAGGAGCAGCGGCACCGGCAGTGGGAGCAGCTGCAGGAACAGGAGCAGGAGCAGAGTCAGGGAGGGGGGGAAGACGGCGAGGAGCCAGTGTGGTCAGAAGGTGGTCTAACGTCGTCAGAAGACCCATTTCGCTTCAAGCTTCCCGGTGGGGAAAAATCAAAGTTTCCGGAAGCCGGGAATCACGTCTTGAGCCACCCGAAGGGTCACCCTCGAAGTCCATCGGAGGATCTGACTGACAAGCCACCTACGCACCCGATTGGCTGTCCAGGAAATAAACTTTTCCATTCACAAGACTGCCTGACCGGATCTTTGCATCCATCTGTCCACCACCGTTGCAATCGCCGAAGGAGTCTGGATGGCACTCTTTTCGAATCAACACAAAAGACTTCCCGGAACTGGCTGGCTGAACCTGTCCCGCATGCTCGCAACAGTCGATCGAGCTTTGAAGACGTTCCTCCTCGATCGACACGTTTTCAGTCGAACCGCGAGTCCCTTGAGTCGACCCTTATTGTGTCGCTCCGGCCGATTCTCAGTTCGAATCGAATGGGTCCAGGTTGCGTGAGTGTTGCGACTCAGAACTGCTTCAACTGCTGTGGCTTCAAATGCAGCGGCGGAAACTGCACCCATGAGAATCAGAGGCAATACTGTAGCTACAGTAAAACGCATAGCTGCAGTAAAGCAGAAAGCTGCAGTTGCAGGCATGTGCACATTGCAGAAACTGCTCTGGTGAGGCAAGTGCAAAGGTGTTTGGAGCAGGAGAAGCAGCAGCAACAAACCCAGGTGCGGCAGGAGCAAGAACAACAGCAGCCGCACCAGCAGCAGCAGCAGCAGCAGCAGCAGCATCAGCAACAGCAGGAGAAGCATGAACTAGTGGTTAGGTGTTTGCAGCATGAGCGGCTGCATGGCAGTGCAAGAGAGAGGCCGAGACCGCGCCGACACATGCGTGAAGAGCAGTTGATGATGGCTCGCAAAGCGATGAGCATGCCATGCAATTGACATGAGCACCCCATGCCATGCAGCTGGGATGAGCATGACATGCCCCATGCAGCTAACATGAGCATGCTGTGCTACTGACATCAGCATGCGTGCAAGTGACATCAGCATGCTGTACAAGTGACATCAGCATGCCGTACAAGTGACATCAGCATGCCGTTCAAGTGACATCAGCATGCGTGCAAGTGACATCAGCATGCCATGCAGTTGACACGACCTTTTAGTGAGACTGACATCAACACAAATGGTGTTACAAGGTGATGTTGACCCGCGCCCCGGACATGTAGGACGGTACATCTGAGCACAGCAGCTGACAATCCGCATGGGTGGTGGTGCCATGAGGATAATATGAGGTTGACACATGTGACCCTCATATTGACCCATGCGACCTACATACATTGACCATGCAGCGCGGACATGTAGGATGGGAGGTGGAAGGAAGCAGAGCAGCTGATTTTCAGCATGGGTTGGTGGGTGCCATGAGCATTAGGACTCAACTAGATCCGGTGTTCTCTTTGTATTCTGATGTAACAACAACACTAATTGTTTATAATAATTGACCAAGAAACAAATGTGTGTGTACCTAGGGCTGTAAGGTTCTCGATATCCTATTTAAAGCCACTGACAATTCTTTTTCTGGCAAACTGGCAAAACACAGCCTAAACCACCCAGGCTCACTACACCCGCATGCAGCCCCAGGTGTGATATTCACCCTCCCTTCCCTCAGCAGTCGAAGAAACAATTCCTCCTCTCCTTGAAAGCTGTTTTTAGGTGTTATGAACTCTCGAAAGTCGCACCAAAGAAAGACTCCTGCGTTGCTTCCAGTCAAGCACGGCACGCCTATTTGCAACAGAGCTTCTTGTGCTCTAGACGAGGCTTTTCTGAGCCGCCGCTGGTTCTCTGAGAGGTAGGCTTGTGTGAATACTGAGTCGCTCAATAGAGGGGCGAGGAGTGCTTGGGTGTGGCGAGAGGGGGAGCAGAAGCGGGCGAGTTTGGTGACTGCTGATTGGACAGTGGGGTTGAGTGAGTAGCAAGCACCAATGCGGAACCCAGGTATTCCCAAGTCCTGCAGGGATGACAGAATGGGGAGAATCACATGGGACAAATCCATTATTCACATGAAAAACACTAATTGGTAGACGATCAGATACATTTAACAGCTGTCAACATTTTTTTCTTTCTTTCTTGAACTCGGAATTGTGAACCCACCTTGGAAGGTCCATAAAAGATGTGCAGAAAGGGATAATCTTGAGGCTCAGCAAGGTGCAGAAGTGATATAAAACCATCCCCCCTATAGACCGATCCGGCATAGATTTCGTCAGAAATCAGATGGAAACGGTTTTTCCTGCATTTAGCAGCTCAAGAGGGACAGAGGAGAGACAAATGGACACATTATGCAATAAGGTTCATCAGCACCTATGATAAAATACATACATATTATCAGGGGTAATAATCGGCACATAACTTGCCTGCGAAACTGCAGTACTTTGAGACAGCATCGGAAAAGGTACAGGTAAAGGTAGACAGCATCGGAAAAGGTACAGCCCAGAGCGTTAGAAGGAGATGACAGCAATACACCACGAACCTTCCCTCCCCTCCCCTCCATCCCATCCCCCATCTCCTTCAATTGAGGCGCCTCAGAGGTTGGCAAATCAACTTTACCTGCAAAACTGCAGTACTGTGAGAAGTGCAGCATCTGAATATGTGCGGCCCAGAGGGTTGGAAGGAGATGACAGCAATACACCGCGAACCTTCCCTCTCTTCCTCTCCTTTCGCTCCTTCCTCCCTCCCTTCTCCTTCCTCACTCCGCTTCCCTTTCTCCTCTCTGCCCTCTCATCCTCCTCCGACCCTCCTCCCGCCAGGCTCGGCTCCTCATCACCTCCCTCCCCCTGCTGAGACTCCCTGAGAGCAGCTTCTAACGAGGATGTGCTTATATCGAATCCAGTGTGGCTATAGGTGGCAGCAGGGATAATGGTCACACCGGCCTGTCGCTCTAGATCCACTGTGAAACTGAAGGTAAGGAGAATAGAAAAAGAGGTTGTTTGTGGTTGGTTGTGGTTGGTTGTGGTTGGGGGGAGGGGTTTCAAAGTGGACGAGGGAAAGGTTGGGGATATGGGAGAGGAGAAGGGGAGTGAGATGGAGAGAGTGAGTGACTAAGACGGAGTGAGGGAACGCGAGTGGGAGTAAGTGGTTGGAGATTGCCTTACTCGTTTTTTGAGGCGCCTCAAAATCACCTCAATGCATGGGAGTAAGTGGTATAGGAATACCTTTCTCGGGGCGGACACAGAAATAAGATGGAGCACACACAAGCCCGAATAAACCAGGGTAGAATTGCCATTAACCCTGAGGAAGAGGCACGATTAACCTGGAGTTGACAAACAGGCAAATCGAGGCAAACACATGGCTTACCCCGGGTAGAAAGGCGTTGGAACAATGAACGAATCGCCTGCATCAGCCAGCACATGGGCCAGCAATCCAACGGCTGCAGTGACTCCAGATGTTATCACCAGACGGTCAGGATCGATCTTGATTGACTCTTGCGGATTGTGGGGGGAGGATGAGGGACCGTGGGAAAGATTGAGAGCATGTGTCATGAAAGCAGCCATTGCCTGCAAATTGGGAGTGTTGTTATGTTGGAAGGGGAAAATGGGGAAAAAAAAAGGAGAACATGACAGACGATAGAGGAGGAGAAGGAGAAGGAGAAGAATAAGAAAGCAAACTATAAAAAATGGCAGGAGACAGATGTCAACGATGATGGCAGTGACCAGGGGGAAAATAAAAGAAGGAGAAGAACAAAAAAAAAAACAGAAGAAGAAAAACAAATATCAAACGAGGACAGAACACAACAAACACACGAACAGACTAGATCAGTGAAGTTGCCTGGCTTTTGTTATTGGAGAACGCTTACCTCACGAAAAGGCTTGTCCCCATGAAACTCCCCATACGCTGACGTGGCATCAACGGCTGGCATCTCGCGCTGGAGGCGATCTGAGATAAGATCAAGCGAGAGCTGATTGGGAAGAATGAGAGAGATTTGGGGGAGAGGGGTGGTGGTGGGATAGGAATGACTCGACAGGACCTTTTTGGGAGGCGGATTGTCAGGACCCTTGGAAGCTCGGGTCCGTGTGCGTTGGAGAATTAATAAAGGGTTGACAGGACGGCGCGTGAGGAGGTCGCTTTTGAGAATTCTCAAAAGGGACCCTTGGAAGCTCCGGTCAGTGTGCATTGGAGAATTAATAAAGGGTTGACAGGATGGCGCGTGAGGAGGGGATCACAGGACCCTTTCAGGCGCAGGTCAGGATGGATTGGATAAGGAGCCAAGGGTTCTGACTTGCATGGCTCCTCGCAAAGTTATGTGTGCTTTGCAATTCACCACTTATTACTTTGTTATCCGCAATCCCGAGCTGAATGACACCATCGGGTCGCGGGTCACTGGTTACCACTCGAATGTTGCCATTAACATGTCATGACAGTTTACCACTCACTTTGTTATCGGCAAGACCAAGCTGAAAAACACCGTCGGGTCGCGTCCTCGCGTCGTACGGGTTTTCCCGCGCGAATCCCAGCCCTTGATAGTACATCGACGGCTCTTCAGCAGCTAGTTGCGCGCCGCGGCTGGAGAGCGCGTCTGTCTCGTTATAATCACCCTCCGACATTGCTGCGAACAGGACGGATTTATCTCCAGCAGGTACGTGCGTTTCCTGCATAAACCGGCGTGGAAGCGAGGTTACAGGAGCCCGGCAAAATTTCGTGTTAAAGTGTTCTACTTTGATACTCAGTAGATTCCTGCGTTGATTGGTTTCGCGGAATGCGCAGCGGTAAGTTGCTCGCGCGAATAATAGGGCTGACGTGTGACTAATTCCTGACATGTGACTTATTGCTGACAAAAGTAGACGACTAGTCGAAAATCTGGCCAAGAGGGCGCATTTTGTTCCACTACAATGTCAAGACAGGGCTCGGTGGGAGATCGCATCCTCGCCAAAAGCCTCCTGGATTACTGTCCTCGCATAAAACTTCCAAATCTTACCCAGCCTATCTTAGAATATCAGTCTACAAATACTAGGATAAACAAAGGCATTTATCACTGTAAATTGTTCTTCGTAGCACTCCCAACGAATTACAACAAAAAATCATAATGAATTGAGATAGACTACTTCTGACCATGATGGCACTGATTGGTGATATATTTGGTAAAAAGAACTGTTGAAACAATTCTTACAAAATTATACGTTTCCAAGGGATCATCTTTCATTTTATTTAGGAATAAGCATATTCAGTCGGATTTGCCCAACCACCGAGTTTCCTCTTCGGTAGTAGAATGTCAGAATCTGGTCTTGTAGCGCATATTCGCTGAATATGCTCATATGCGACTCGAATTGGGAATATTTAGGTCAGTGATTCGTTGTTCAAGAAAGTGAATAATAGTTGGGTATGCCTACGTGGAATGCCTCCCGTGATCTCTGGAAAAGTCCCAGCCATTTTGGTCGGCGCAAAACATCCTGTTCGTCACAGAGGAATCACGTGGCATTGATCCAGACCAGAAGAAGCTCGAGTTGTGGCGCGAACGGCTGGAGCACTCTGAACCAGTGATCGCATCGCATCTCGTTCCCCAAAAGAATCGTCGGCTTGGATCTTCGCTCACGATGCCATTCGACGACGGTGTTACCACGATTCAACGACTTCATTATTCGCGTCACGTCCCTCCCCTGTCTGCTGCCAATGGATCCAACAGGAGCTTGGGCTGCTGTGATCTATGCCAAGAGGTTCATACAAACCTAATCCTAGGAGTCCGAGACCACATTTTCTTAGTATCAACCTTTAATCGAGACTCCGTTTATCTCCGTCTTCCTTATAACCTTCATTATAATCCGACGGCATCAGGTTTCGTGAAAGCGACGTCCGGCCCTGGTTTTCGCAAGTGTGCTTCTCCTCCACTGTCTCAGTTCCACTCCAATTGATGCCATGGTTGTCCTCGCAATGACCGATTTGGGTGCTGCGAGAGGAGCGGGGAACGCGGACTGGGAGCTCGAGGAGTTTTTCCGTCGAAGGGAGATCGATGGTACGCTGGCTGTGCTGCGCAGGCATGGCTGCGACCTAGCATCGAAACGGCGCCGAAGAGCACAGGAAACGGAGTCAGCTGCAATTGAGTCAAGTCGAACGCCAGATGCGGGGAAAATGGAGGTGCTTTCAGAGAAGATCTCTGCGACGCTGATCGTAGAGCTTAAAGAGTCGCCGTCAGCATCGTCGCTGTCGCCCAGCGACAGGCTGTCAGGATTCGAGGGCGACGAGTGGGACGATCGATGGACGGACACGGAGGATGGGACTTCCAGTACCTACTCCGACGGTGTTGACAGTGACGGATTCCGTCTGGAAGACTTGACAGACGTTCCACCTCCGACAGTTTGTTTTTCGAGCAGCACTGGGGGGCAAGGGGCAGACGGCGACGTAGAATTGCCTGGCTTCGAAACAAACAGCGCCGTCACAGAATCGGCAGTAGTCGCAACCACGCCTTGTGATTGTCCGACCAGAATACCTGACGGGGAATCTCCAATAGGCACAGATCTGTTGCCATCGCCAGTCAAGGTGGCTCAGGCGGCGGCTGCTTGTATTGGAAGTGCTGATATAGGTAGCAGACGTACTGATAGTGGTCCGCTTCAAGAACAAGACGTAGCATCATGCGATCATTTCGACGACGGAGTTGTCGCCGACGGTTCGGCTGTGACGGCCGCCGATCTCCAGGCGTTCCTCGAGCGGCTGCGAATTCCCGAAGCCGCCTTGGAGTCGCACGGCTGGCAGCACTTGATAACGCGTGCGACGCCTACGATGCAGTACTCGTCGCATTCCCACGACTGTGCGATCGAGGGTTACCCGAAAAGCACGTGTTACCGCGGTCGCATGGTGGTCGAGGGGGTGACACTGGAGGCTGTACGCGACTTTCTTCTCGACGACGAGTTCCGCGGGGAATGGGACGAGAATCGTCTGGAGTCGACGGTTTTGGAAGACTGGAACAACTTTGGCGTGTCCATCATTCGCTGGGTTCGACGTCTTCCGTTTTTCCTCCGAAATCGCGAATACGTTGTTTCTCGGCGCGTCTGGTCCCTCGCCCCTCAATCCTCTTCTCAAACGTTCTTCTGTATTAACCGAAACACGTCACACCCATCGGCCGTCTCTCGGCCTTCCCTGCTGCGCGTGCCGTACTTTTACTCCTCGTGGCGAATTCGGTATGTCCCAAGCGAGGAGGAAAGAGATAAGCTGACAGGGCGGAGAGACGAGCTGAAGGGGGAGGGGGACGAGGCGGAGGGAAGCGACGCCAAGGCGGAAGGGCAAGGGGCCAGGGTGGCGGGACATGGGCGGAAGCTGGGAGTGGAGATTGTGACGTACCACCAGGAGGAGTCAGGGCTGCCCCGGGAGCTGGCCAGGGTGGCTGTGGTGAGGGGCATGTGGGGTCACATGCTGAGGATTGAAGCTGCTCTGAGGAGTTACTGCCAGGCTCAGCGCACTGTCAGGCAGACGTTGCCTCCTTTCATGCTGACCATGAATGATTAATGAGATGATTAAAGAGTGGGGCTGGTCCAAGAATTAGGTGACAGACTGGCTCCTTGTCTTGAGGATTAATGACAGTGACAAGCGTTCAATCGGAAATACACAACCTTATTATAGATGGCTATGCGAGATTTGGAGGGCGTTAATTAGCTCCTGGTGACTAACATTTGGAATGAGGTAGCTTGGTGATTAGTACATGTACATATATCAAACATTCACATCTTGACACTTCTTGTGTCAGAAAGAAATCTGACTTGATGCACAATCTTGAAATCCAGATACCTCCAAATAAAAGCCGGTTGCGCGTTTGAGACAATTCCATTATCCATTCGCTCTAGATCCAGTCTTTTAACTCAAACTTCAATAACTGCCGTCTTGGCCTTCCGTTTCCTGCTCCAAGCAATGAGTCTGTTCAGATCTTGACACACGCTTCGCAGCTCAGAGGGCTTTTCGTGCTGAAGACCGCAACCAGCCGCTGCCAGAACGTGGTTGGGAACCTTAGCGCTCAAGGAGAACGAGGTCCTTCTGTGATATTCTGAGCGTTAGTCTTGAAACAGTAACACTGATTCAGCTCAGCTGCCAAGTAGGTCCAGTTATCCAGAGCTTGCTCACCTAAAATGGGCGAAGATGTAGATTTGGGCCATTAACTGGTTCGATTGAGCGTGGGTAAAGCCAGTCGACGTCGATTTTTGGTGAAATGATGTACCTGACATGTTGCTTGCCATATGAGCGATACTCAGGACGGCCTTCAAAGCTAGCTGGTCCTCACACTCACGAATATGGCTGTGCTTGTTGAGCGACAAAGAAAAGCAAAAGCTAGCAGTATGTAGTGAATCGTGAGGCATTGCGTGATTCAGATCTGCAATAATACGTTCATAGCCGAATGAACCTTTGAAGGTCTGTGCGAACTGGTGAGTTGAACAGTATGATGAGCCAGGAGCGCGAGGTCAGCCGCAGTGGTAGTGAGGCAGCAACTCTACCCTAGAATGCTGTGCCAAGGGGGGAGGAAAATGAGGAAGCGAGGGGAGGAGAAAAGGGGAGCACAACTGTACACGCTGGGTTGGGATGTGTCAAGAACGATTCAAAAAAGATTGTTAACGAACCAGAGAGTTTGGGTTGCGGCCAACTTCATACATACTCAAAGTATTCCCGAGCGGGTTCTCAGGTGTAATCAACCTGGACTTTCTCAACGTTGATTGGTTGTCGCGTTTTATTCACATTCACGCTGGTCGAACTCTTAAGGTAGTGACAAAAGCAGAACCACTCATTTTACCCTCCCGAATTGGATATGTTAGTTTAAAGTACGGAAATTTAAGACAGGTCCGAAAAAAAAAACTATCTAGGGAATGTGGACGCATTTTCGGGAGGGGTCAACCCTAAACACGGGAAAGGGCATTGTTTTTAGGGTTGATGCCTCCCGAGTCGCATCCCTTTCCGATTGGGTTTTATTTTTTTGTCAGGTGGGGCGCATTATATTATTCCAAAAAAATGGGCGGATTCCCGATGTATTTAGGGTTGATCCGTCCCGAAATTCATACAGGTCCGCTACAGGTTATATAGATTTTATTCAAGTGCTATAATTGTTTTTAGTGACTGTATACAGAACAGACTAGTATTATATCGCAAAACTGTGTTTCTGTTAGTGATTACACCTGAGAACTCGCTCGGGAATACTTTGAGTACGTACGAAGTTGGCCGGTTTGGGTTGGGTACCGCAATTACTGAGGGTTAGGAGGAGGCGGCACAAGTGAAGAAGCAGAAATCGAGGGTCCAGTTCAGAAAAGTTCATTTGTTGAGGACGCGTCACAATTGCAACACCGGGGAGGATCGGGGACCGAACACCGAAAATGTGTGCAGCGCGTATGAAAGTCGGTTTCCAATTTGCATGAGCAGTGTTAGGCTGCTTCTCCGAGCCAAGTGAGACACGACTGGATTTGCAAGTGGGGGACCTCCACCAAGTGTACAGCCAGTTTCGAGAGCAGGTGCCGTGCTTCGCTGGCGCGTCGTTCACTTTCGCCTGGGTTGTGACGACGCGGTCGCACAGCGCAGATGTTGCCCAACGACAGTTTGTGATGTCGCTCTGTTACCACTTCGAGAGTGGCCGACAGTATGCGACGGCGATCGATCGTGGCTGACACCGGTGGCTCGACTTCGTTTCCCGCGCTGCCAATCGCACGATCGATGTGGCATTTCGAGCGGGGCAATCTCGTCAAGCTGCAAGTTCACGTTATTCGAGTCATGGTTGTGCGAAATCAGGATACACATTATTCGCCAACTGGCGAATTCACTGTAGATGGTGAACACCGAACCTACACAGGTTCGGTGTTGCAATTGTGACGCGTCCTGATTGAGTGACGTCATTTGTTGGGTCGATTTGTACGCGGTAGTTGCAACTACAGAAACGCCAACCAAAATGTGAGAAATCCTTCTGGCAGAGTTTCCTTCCGCTTTGAAAATGTCGTGCTGAGATCATGTCGGCATTTCCAAGGTGCTGCTCTGCCGCAGTAGTCCAGCGGATAACGGTGCTCAATGCTCATCATCCATGTTATCAACCTGCTTCCATCTGCATTAGTCAATCTTGAATTTGGTCAGTACTCACAATAACGAAAATGTTCGACATCAGGTCGAATCCGTCGAGCCGACGCGTGGCGCTTCCGTTGTTCCTGGTGTTAATTTCCATTGTTGGCGGAACCATCTCAGAGGAGCATAACAGAAGAAGCTTAAGTGGTGTAGGGCTCGAGCATGCCATGTCGCTCTATCGAGTAAGCTACACGCACTTGTACTAACGTGAATGCGTGGTAACCTATGTCGAGACGCGTACTTACTCTTAGCGTTGCTTCGTTTCCCTCCAAGGATGTGACGACGAGCCCTTCCTACGTCTTTTTTTCCCGAAAAGCATCTAATGCCGTTTCTACCGTCAAGCTTGATTCTCTTCCCTTACCTGAACTGCAAACATATCGCAATTTCCTCCCTTTCACTCCGAAAAATATCCGCATTTCACCTTTCTTCTGGCGTATCTCTCTCCGATGATTCCCCAAAGCTTATTTCTCACCCTTTTCCCCTCGCTACCTCCCCTCCCAACGACCGTCCTCCCGCTGATTCCCAGAGCTGGGAGAAGGCATACGGACTCGAACCCTACTCCGTCTCCCCTCCGGAAAAGTTTGAGCTGCCCGCGAATCTTCCGCCAGCTCCGCACCTGGAGGACTGCTCCGCGCGCACAGCCTTCCGCCTGTCCGTGGAGCAGAGGGGACCTGATGGGTCTGCGCCTAACTGGACCCGCCCGTCCAACTGCTGGAGCTGCAGCCCGCAACCCCCCTGGGTATGTTCATGGATTGATCCTTGAATGAGCTCGGAAGTCTCAAGTGACTTTTGAGTCGACTCAAAAGTCATCTTCCTCCTTTTCACACTGCAATAGGGGATCTGACTGGTCTGCGCCTGACTGGACTCGCTCTTCCAACTGCGCCTCTCCGCGGAGCAGAGGGGACCTGATGGGTCTGCGCCTAACAGGACCCGACCCTTCAACTGCTGCAGCTGCAACCTGCAACCCCCCTGGGTAAGGTTGGATCAAGACACTCCGCTTAGATTCCGCTTCTGTCGCGTTCTTCCCCGTACACGTGCCCCCTCCTAACTGGACCCTCTACTCCAGCTGCGGCAGCTGCAACCCACGACCCTCTTGGGTAAGTTTTGCGGAGATGAGAACGTAGCAAGTTGGGCCACATGATTGCAGTCGTCCACCCGAGTTCAACTCTCCACACGTCAGTAGATTATCCACCATCGCCCTCATTCCCTCGGGTTCCCCCCATATCTCCAACTTTTCCTCCCAATTTCCCCCACATTCCCTTCTATTCCCCCTCCCTCTCTTGCTCCTACTTGCTCCTTCTTGCTCCTTCTTGCTCCTTCCATCTTGCTCCTTCTTGCCCCCACTCCACAGGTCCGTGGGGACGATCTGGCCGATCTCGCGCTGACACGTGTCGCGCAGAGGGACATCTGGGAGAGCCAGTTCCCTTCCACGTGCAAGGGCAGGCGAATCCTGCTGGCAGAATGGGTGGACGGACCGATTCAAGGTTCAGGCCAGACAGCAGCAGCAGGAGCAGGAGCAGAAGCAGGAGCAGGAGCAGCAGCAGGAGGAGCAGCAGGAGCAGCGGCAGATTCTGGGGCATTTGGCATGGGGACGCAAATCCATGTCATGTCTGCGTTTCTGAGCATTGCTGTGCGGCACAACCGCACGCTGGTGGTGGCGCCAGGGACGTATTCTAGAGCTAACAACTCGGCTTGCCAAGGTACGCGCGTGCTGGGTAATCACACTCTGCTCTGGTGGTGGAGTCATGTCTCCCTCTCTCAGCATTGCTGTGCGGCATAACCGCACGCTGGTGGTGGCGCCAGGGACGTATTCCAGAGCCAACAACTCGGCTTGCCAAGGTACGCGCGTGCTGGGTAATCACACTCTGCTCTGCTGGTGGAGTCATGTCTCCCTCTCTCAGCATTGCTGTGCGGCATAACCGCACGCTGGTGGTGGCGCCAGGGACGTATTCCAGAGCCAACAACTCGGCTTGCCAAGGTACGCGCGTGCTGGGTAATCACACTCTGCTCTGGTGGTGGAGTCATGTCTCCCTCTCTCAGCATTGCTGTGCGGCACAACCGCACGCTGGTGGTGGCGCCAGGGACGTATTCTAGAGCTAACAACTCGGCTTGCCAAGGTACGCGCGTGCTGGGTAATCACACTCTGCTCTGCTGGTGGAGTCTTGTCTCCCTCTCTCAGCATTGCTGTGCGGCATAACCGCACGCTGGTGGTGGCGCCAGGGACGTATTCCAGAGCCAACAACTCGGCTTGCCAAGGTACGCGCGTGCTGGGTAATCACACTCTGCTCTGCTGGTGGAGTCTTGTCTCCCTCTCTCAGCATTGCTGTGCGGCATAACCGCACGCTGGTGGTGGCGCCAGGGACGTATTCCAGAGCCAACAACTCGGCTTGCCAAGGTACGCGCGTGCTGGGTAATCACACTCTGCTCTGCTGGTGGAGTCATGTCTCCCTCTCTCAGCATTGCTGTGCGGCATAACCGCACGCTGGTGGTGGCGCCAGGGACGTATTCCAGAGCCAACAACTCGGCTTGCCAAGGTACGCGCGTGCTGGGTAATCACACTCTGCTCTGGTGGTGGAGTCATGTCTCCCTCTCTCAGCATTGCTGTGCGGCACAACCGCACGCTGGTGGTGGCGCCAGGGACGTATTCTAGAGCTAACAACTCGGCTTGCCAAGGTACGCGCGTGCTGGGTAATCACACTCTGCTCTGCTGGTGGAGTCTTGTCTCCCTCTCTCAGCATTGCTGTGCGGCATAACCGCACGCTGGTGGTGGCGCCAGGGACGTATTCCAGAGCCAACAACTCGGCTTGCCAAGGTACGCGCGTGCTGGGTAATCACACTCTGCTCTGCTGGTGGAGTCATGTCTCCCTCTCTCAGCATTGCTGTGCGGCATAACCGCACGCTGGTGGTGGCGCCAGGGATGTATTCCAGAGCCAACAACTTGGCGTGCCAAGGTATGCGCGTTCTTGGAAATCATATTCTGGCCTGGTGGTGTCGTCGTGGCCCTCTTTCTGAGCATTTCTGTGCGGCAAAACCGCACGCTCATGGTGGCGCCAGGGCCAGGGCCGTATTCGAGAGCCAACGATTCGGCCTGCCAAGGTACACATGCGAGGCTTGATCACAACCTGGTGGTAATGGTGCTGCTGAAGGGGTTTCCGAGCTCCAGTCTTGTCTGCGTTTCTCAACGTCGCTGTGACGCATAACTGGATATGAGACTTCCGGCTGTAGCAGCTGTAGCGAAAGTGCGGCAAACCCCACACCCTCTTCCCCATTCCCTCGCTCCAACTTATAGCCACAGGTCACATGGGCTCACATGGGCGCCTGGGAGTGTGTAGACGAGGCTGTAGCAGCTGTTTTCTCTGTGGTAAAAGTGCCTCATATGTATATATATATGTATATATATATGTATGTATATATATATGTATATATATATATTTTAAACCCTTTTCCCGCACATTCCCCTCTATTCAATTTCAGCCACAGGTCACACGGGCGCCTGGGAATGCTACTTCTTCCCAATCACCTCCCAGGAGTGTGTAGACGAGGCCGTAGCAGCTGTAGCAGCCAATCAGGCATCTTCAGCCAACGGACCTGACATGGAGGCTCGGCTGGCCTCGCCAGACCTGGTCGTCAGGTTCGCTGATGCAAGGCATTTTGAGGACGTGGATGGGGCCAAGTAAGTAAACCCTCTGTACAGCTATATATTACTTATATGGGGGAGGGGGGGGGGGGGGGGGGGGGGGGGGGGGGAGGGGGGGGATTCCTGGTATGTGTGTGTGTGTGTGTGTGCGCGCGCGCGCGCGTTTTCGTGTGTACAAAAGGTGGGTCCTAATATGCCCTGAATTATCCCACCCAAGTGTTTCGTTGGCACACAAGAAAACAAGAACGAACAGGATGAGGAAAAATAATAAAGCTTATTTCTCCTTTGATCGATTTCCTCCTTTTCAGGTGGTGGGGCATGCCGTGGAGGGACCGACCATCCACTGTGGGGGTGCAGGGGGTGCTGGAAGTATGTGGCTTGCATGCCATGTGGGAAGAACTCTGTGTGTGTCTCATGCTCTTCCACTCCCCCTGTCTTGGTTCCTCACCCTCCCTTCCCCCTCAGGCGGTGGGGCACTCCGTGGAGGGACCGACCGTCCACCGTGGAGGTGCAGGGGGTGCTGGAAGAGGCAGATGAGAGGACCATGCAGGTGAGGCAGCTGATTGATTGATGGGAGAATACAAGATTGCGACTCGGTGCATCACTGCACGTTTCTGTAGTTCATCACACCAACGCCCACAATAGTACCATGATTATCAGTGTGGAGGCGCAGGGGGTGCTGGAAGAGGCAGATGAGAGGACCAGCAGATGCAGATGCAGATGCAGATGCAGATGCAGATGCAGATGCAGGTGAGGCACCTGATTGAATGAGGTGCAGACTAGCAGTCTAAATTGCTTCAGCAGTGCAGGTCACTCAATCACTGCAGTACTAGATCTCAAAACTTCACATACTCTCTATGTTGGTCACTCGGCTTTCCATTTCACTTGGCCTCTTCCCCTTCCCCTTCCCCTTCCCCTTCCCCTTCCCCTTCCCCTTCCCCTTCCTTCTCTTTCCCCATCTTCGTCCCCCTTTCTCCCCCCTTGATTTCATCCCCTTTGCGGACTCAGCATCGGTGGTGGCATGCCCAGTCAGCACGCTTCCTCCTCCGCTGGCCATCCGCACACCTCTGCCACGTCATCAACCGCATCCGCCACATCAGCTACGGCCTGCGAGTGGCCGTGCACATATCTGACATCAGCACAGAAGAATCTTCCATCATCCAATCCCTCGAAAAGGGCACCAGCCAATCAGGGAAGGGCATTCCAGATTTCAACATGACCAAAGAAGCGGAATTTCTTAAAGGCATCAACTTTTCTCCGCCGAACCTGGAGACGGACGTCTGGCCCGGGGAAGGCTTTGCTGGGTGTTTGCTTCGGGACACGGACGGCGAAAAGCCTGCCACTATAGACAAAACTTTTAAAGGCGTCGGTGGGGAGGTGTTTATTTTTCGACCAATCGTGAGCGTACACGTGGCGCATGGAGACGCTGTGCTGGAGGGAGGGGGATCCCAGGGGGGAGGTTTCCCGGAAGGGGGATCTCGGGTGAAGCTGAGGTCGCTAGCGGTGTACATGTATTTTGCGTATCAGCTGCAGCTGCATGTTCCGACAATCAACCACGCTTGGTTAAGCACAGATGCACAGGTGAGAGGCCTTCTTTTGGTCTCTCAATAGTTTCTCGCTTCATGCGTCATATGCTTTTCGTTTTGGTTCTGGTTCGCTTTGGTTTGTGTTGATCTCATATTGCCTCCCATTATTCTCATCCTCATGTGCATTTCTCAACCTGTGCTACATTACCGTGTGTCGTGTTGCTTTCAGTCGACGCTAGAGGAGGCTAAGCAATTGCGCGACTGGAGCTTCTTATATTCAGAGCACCCGTCACAGCAGGCAGCTGCGGTTGGTGGTGTGGCAGCTGAAAATGGGGATGGAAGCGTTGACCATTCAGCAAATGACAAAACGGTTGCAGTGAAATTTGCTAATCTGCTTATTGCAGCTGAAAGCGACTATTTTGTGGGCATGCTTGGTTCCAATTGGAACAGGCTCATTGATGGGTTGCGCAGCACAAATGGCAGGCTTTTCTCAGGCTATATGGCTTTCAGCTTATGAATGCTTCAAGTCACTGCACCATTTCTTTTGAACCCCTTTTAGATGCTTCAAAGATAAAACATGAGATTGCTTAGTGGGAATGAGATGATGGTGCATTATCAAGACGTTTTGAATTTGTGAGATGTTCGTGATGTTCTGACGTGGTGGATGGAGTTCATATCGAGTATATCGTCAATCTCCCAGCCACCGAGTCACCGACCTCCTAATGCGGTTCCCTCAAGCTTCCCGTTTGGCGGTTCCCGAAATTTGACGGCCAAGCGACTCGCGGCAAGTAACGACAAGTTTCTGGTCGCACGACAATGACTTCCGCCAGCCCCTTCCCTGGACCGACACCTTTTCACCCCCAACCCCACCCCTCCCCTCCCCCCCAACCATCCCAAAACGTGGTGGTGGGCGGGGCTGTGGCTCTCTCCCGCCAAGCTAGCTCTCTCCCTGTGCCGGGGCACCTCCGCGACACTTCCGCGTGCCCTTTCCCCCATCCCACCCATTCCATGCTTGCCGTGCCTGAAACCGTGTTTTTGCTTTCAACTGTTCTGCTTCGGATCCCTCTGTGGTAGTATCAATAGCGATGGCTTTAGCAAAGCGACGCTAGCATTGCAGTGCATTTCTAGGTTACACACGCAGCGGAAACTCCGCCACCTGAGCTTCAAATTTTATTTTCCCTCTGTTTGTACGCTGTTAGCTGCCATTTCGTCAGAGTCGCTCAGTTATCCTCAATCCATCGAACCAGTAGTTTCTTAATCAACCTCGTCAAACACCAAACAACAGAGCTGTAAATCTGCTATTTATTCGCACTATCTTGCCGTGCTATGTAAAAATTCTCAATACAGCGCGCAGATTTCATTTGTAATTCGCGATAGACTCGAATCGCTCCCATGACCTCAAGCTCGTCGCGTCATTTCGCAGACAGATGACAGTACGGGCGAGCCGCTCCTCGGAGTGGCCAATGCGTAAGCAGCAGGGAAAGTTAGGATGGCCGGTAGATAAGCCGGAGCAGCAGCATGGGGAGTTAGGGTGGCCTGTAGATAAATGGGTGGCGGAACAGGGACAGCAGCGTTTAGAGCATCCTCACACTATTTGTAATGATAGGAAAGAGCACATTGATGGGAGAGAAACGGGTATTTATGTCGGGCAGGGGGAGCATACTGATGCCGGGAAATCAGGTATTTATGAACGGCAGGAGGAGCCTGCGACGACGAGGAGGCGACGACAGCCGTCGCACGCCGCACGTAAAACGCCGTCGCAACTAGAATCGCCGTCGCTATGTCGCATGCCATGGCGACACTCTTCCTCGCCACGATTCGATGTAGCTCATGCAGCGACGCTGGTTCCCATATCGAGGCTCTGGTCACCCTCCATTAGAAAAACGTCAGTTTCCGTCCTTCTCCGTTTCCTTGTAATTATTTTCACATTCCAGTCTTCTCTCGCCTCGACTGATGCAGCTGATGCAAGCAGCCGCTTCGTCCACGTAGGCAGGAGCGCGAGTTTAGTCAGAAACAGCATCATCCGCATAGGCAGCAGCAGACTAGAGAGCCAGGTGGAATCAGCAGCAGACAGAAGGGAGGCAGGAGCAGAAGTGAGTGTGGGGTTTCCAGGAGCAGAAGCAGACAGACAGCAAGGAAGAGCTGAAGCAGAAGCGGATGGAGAAGGTGGAATGGGATTAGAACGAGCAGCAGCGGTCAGATGGCGTGCGGAGAGGCAGTTAATGGTCGCTTCGAGAGCAGCGGCAGCAGGGGGGTGGGTGGGAGCACTGGGAAGGCCGAGGGTGGAAGGAAACGTGAGTGCGTTCGATTCGACTCAAACGAACGTGCGTACCAACTTGGCAGGGATTGTGCCTGCCGACGTAACAGGGAACGTGGGTGCTGCTGCGCTGAGGAGCAGGAAGCTCGCCGCAGCGAAGCTGCCGTCACAGAAAGGTCAGCAGAAAGGGTGGAGACTGGAATGGCGGGACGGTGTTTCGTGGTGACTTGAGAGTATTAGATGTGAGTCTCTGCGAGTGTGTAAGTCGACTCAAAAAGAGCGTGGGTGCTGCTGCGTTGAGGAGCAGGAGCTCGCCGCCGCGAAGCTGCCGTCACAGAAAGGTCAGCAGAAAGGGTGGAGAGGCGCGGCGGTTTTCGCTAGGAATTTCTCAAAAATACCCTGAAAAGTCAGCAGAAAGGGTGTGAACACGATGATATTATTGAGACTTGTAATTGTACCCTGAACGGTCAGCAGGAACCGTGGATTGGCGAGACTGTGTAGCCTGGTATCTACTTGAGAGAGTCCTAAAAGCCGTTCTTTGAGAGTATGGCTGAATGGTTACCAGACGCAGCAGCACCTCTCACTCTCAGTCACCCTAATCGGTTATCTCCATTCCTCCTCCATCAGGCTTCGTGAGTATAGACTGTGGCTACATGGGCTTGTTGGGAGCCAGCAACCTGGGCCTCAAGTGGTTGTCAAACACAGCAGCGCATCCCATTCGTCCCCTGATGCCTCCCCTCCCGCCATCCTTTCTCTCCTCCTCTCCTTTCCGTCTCTCACTACCTCGACCTTCCCCTCCTTCACCAGGTTTCGTGAGCATAGACTGCGGCTACATGGGCTCCGCTGGAGCGAGCAACCTGGGCCTCAAGTGGTTACCAGACACGGCAGCGCCGGGCGGCAGTGTGGCAGTGATCACCCGCGTGCCGGACCACCTGGTGGGGCTGGTCACGGTGGAGCAGACGCTCAGAGTGTTCGACGATGGGAAGCCGTCCAACTGCTACCAGATTCCTCTCGTTGCTCCAGGTAATTCGTCATGAGATCTAGTGGCAACAGGTATTTGGCTGGTCAGTGGCAGTGTGGCAGTGATCACCCGCGTGCCAGACCACCTGGTGGGGCTGGTCACGGTGGAGCAGACGCTCAGAGTGTTCGACGATGGGAAGCCGTCCAACTGCTACCAGATTCCACTAGTGGCAGCAGGTAAGCTGACTGCAGCAGGTAAGCTGACTGCAGCAGGTGAGGCAAAAATGCGAGGCGAGAGTAAGCACATGTGAGTGGGTGGGCCGGACAACCTGGTGGGGCTGGTCACGGTGGGGCAGACGCTGAGAGTGTTCGACGATGGGAAGCCATCCAACTGCTACCAGATTCCTCTCGTTGCCCCAGGTACGTTAACTGCGGCAGGTGAGTGGCCGTGATCACACGTGGAGCTGACTGCCGGACCAGCTGGTAGGGCTGGTGACGGTGGAGCAGACGCTGAGGGTGTCTGACGATGGGAAGCCGTCCAACTGCTGCCAGATTCCCCTCGTTGCCCCAGGTAATTGGGCAGTGAAATTGAGGTGTAAGTGAAAGGACAGGCTTATTGAGTGTGACCGTGATCGCATGCGTGCTGAACCAACTGGTGGGGTTGGCCTTCACTTCACATGCATGTCGGTACCTCATGGTACGGCAACTACGATGGCAAGAACATGCTTCATCACACCACTCCTCCTTCCTTGTCCCCAACACCCCTCCCCCTTCCCTGTCCCCCTCTCCCTCTCCCTCTCCCCCAGGCCGCTACCTGGTTCGCCTCACCTTCTGGTACGGCAACTACGATGGCAAGAACATGCCGCCCATTTTCAACGTCACGGTCGGCACTGCATCGCTGTAAGCTATACCCCTCCCCTCCCTCCCCCCTCCCCCTCCTCCCTCTTCACCCTGTCCTCCCCCCACCGTTCCCATCCACCACTCACCTTCCTGCATCCCCCTATTTGTTTGAGGTTCTGAGGCAGTTGAAAACTGATATGTGTCGCTGTAAGCTACCCTTCCCTCCCTCCCCCCTCCCTCTCCCTCTCCCCCCCCTCCCGCTCCCCCCTCCCGCTATCCCCTCCCATTCCCCCGTCCCGCTACCCCCTCCCGCTCCCCCCCTCTCCCCATCTTTCCCCCCCCCCTCCCACCACACACATTCCTGCAACCCTCAAAATACTCAAAAGGCTTCCTTCCACCCACCCATTACTCATCCAATTGCCGGTTTGATCTGCTCTACTTCCCTCCCCCTCAGGGGCCAATACACGCCATCCAATGACCAGATTCTTGTACTGGAGGTGATAGTAACGGTGCTAGCGCGCACCATGGCCATCTGCCTCGTGCGCGTGCTGGCCCACCCCATCATCAACGCCCTCGAAAACCGTCCGCCCCCTCCCTCCCTCCCTCCCTCCCTCCCTCCCTCCCTCCCTCCCTCCCTCCCTCCCTGCTCGTGACCTGCTGCTGCTGTTGCTGAACCCTCCCTTCTTCTGCCCTCTACTCCGTTTCTTTCTTCTCTTCCGCACCCACCACCCACCCCTCCAACCCCCCCCTTCCCCCCCACCCCTCTCCCCTCACACAGAGGCCAATACACGCCATCGAACGACCAGATTCTTGTACTGGAGGTGATAGTAACGGTGCCAGCGCGCACCATGGCCATCTGCCTCGTGCGCGTGCTGGCCCACCCCATCATCAACGCCCTCGAAAACCGTCCGCCCCCTCCCTCCCTCCCTCCCTCCCTCCCTCCCTCCCTCCCTCCCTCCCTCCCTCCCTCCCTGCTCGTGACCTGCTGCTGCTGTTGCTGAACCCTCCCTTCTTCTGCCCTCTACTCCGTTTCTTTCTTCTCTTCCGCACCCACCACCCACCCCTCCAACCCCCCCCTTCCCCCCCACCCCTCTCCCCTCACACAGAGGCCAATACACGCCATCGAACGACCAGATTCTTGTACTGGAGGTGATAGTAACGGTGCCAGCGCGCACCATGGCCATCTGCCTCGTGCGCGTCTCTGCCGACCCCATCATCAACGCCCTCGAGATCCGCCCGCTCCCCGCCGGTGCTTATAACGAGAGTGACTATAGCGAGCAGCTGCTGCTCAACTACTGGAGGCTGTCCTGTGCTGGCGACTCGTGGCTTGTCGGTTCCTATCGGTAAGACTTGTCGCAGTAAGCCAGGGCACCTGCGCCTCTCTTTTTGGCGGACATGCCTCTTCTTGGCGACCCTGCACCCGGCACCCTGAGTCGACTCAAAACTCTTCTTGGCGACCCTGCGCCCGGCACTTACACCTACATCCCTTCAGTCGCCTCTGTGGCCATCACCCATCACCAGTAGCAGCATGACCATCCCTGCCAGCATGAGCAGCAACCCTCTTTCCCTTCTCCCTCCCCTCTCCCCTTTCCCCGTCCTTCCCCCTTCCTTCCCCCTTCTCCCCCTCCGCTTCTCGGCCTCTCTCACTCTCAGGTATCCGGACGACCCTTTGGACCGCGTCTGGTACGCAGACATGCCTCTCTTTGGCGACCCTGCTCCTGGCACCTACACCTACATCCCCGCATCCGCCTCTGTGGCCGTCACCAGCAGCAGCATCGCCATTCCCCCCAGCATGAGCAGCAATGCCGTGCCTCAGTTTGTGGTGCAGAAGGCGAGGACTACCAAGGGTGCACAGGGGCTCACTTATCGCTTCTATGGGCTGGCCCCCGGGAAGTACCAGGTGGGTGGGGTTTTCCAATGGTTTTGAGATCCCTGCCAGCATGAGCAGCAATGCCGTGCCTCAGTTTGTGGCGAGAAGGCGAGGACTACTAAGGGTGTACAGGGGCTTACCTACCGTTTCTATGGGCTGGCCCCTGGAAAGTACCAGGTGCGTATGGGTAGGTGGGTTGTTTGAGTGGTTATGAGTGATTCTGAGTGGTTTGGATGGATGTGGTACGAGCCGTCACCATCATCGGCATCAGCACCACTGTGGCCATCCCTGGCAGCATGAGCAGCAATTCCGTGCCTCAGTTTGTGGTGCAGAAGGCCAGGACTACTAAGGGTGCGCAGGGGCTGACTTATCGCTTCTATGGGCTGGCCCCTGGAAAGTACCAGGTACGAGCCATCACATCACAATCACGTGAAATAAGAGTGTTTTTGAGACATGTCAGATATACCAGGTACGAGCCATCACCACCAGTAGCAATGTGGCCATCCCTGGCAGCATGGGCAGCAATGCTGTGCCTCAGTTTGTGGTGCAGAAGGCCAGGCCAGGACCACCACAAGCCCTCAGGGGCTCACGTATTGCTTCTATTGGCTGGCTTCGGGGAAGTATCAGGTGGTTGTGAGTGGTTGGGTTGGTTGTTTGAGTGGTTCTGAGCGGCCATTACAATCTATGGCTCGCCTACCTCCGCAATGCCCCCACCCTGCCTTCCACTTCCAACGGGCAGTGGAATATCGAAACCGCCAGCAGCCTCAGGTGTTCATTCTCCTCATTCTTTCCCCTCCTCTCTTTCCCTCCCACCCATCCACCCGATCTCCTGTCCCTACCACTTTAGGCGTACCTCTATTTCACTGACATCATTCCGCCTACGGCTCCTGTCACCACCACCAACACCCCATCAGCTGACCTCCTGCTCGCCGTCCTCATCAACGGCTCGCCTCTCCTCCGCAACGCCCCTGCCTTGCCCCCGGCCGCTAACCGCCAGTGGAACAAAAACACCGCCGGGCAGCTCAGCTTCGCTTTTGACGTCGTTGGGGCAGCTGCAGAGGCAGGTGGAAACGCGACGGCATCAGCGCAGGGGGCCGGGCAAGGGAACGGGCAGGGGAACGGGCAGGAGCAGGGGGCGCAGGGAACGGTGGCGGAGACGAGTATACAGCTGAAGGCGGAGGAAGGGAGCAGGGTGAAGGAGGTGGGGTTGGCTGGGCTCGAGCTGTATACTGTGGTGGAACCAAAGGCTGCTGTGCCGAAAGAGCAAGGTGCGCAGGAAGCGACACAACAAGTATAGGATGTGCTCGCGCTGTATAATAAAGGGTTGTGTTGAAGATCCATATTGTTCGCTTGTGTCGTGCTACTGACTGATCCGCTGAGTCATGTTGTTGATGTGGTGAGTCAGTCGTGATGTTGATGTGCTGAGTTGTGTTGTTGTTAAGTCAAAGTGATATGTGGAACAATTGATGCTTAAGTTGTGCTGCGCTCTGAGTCAGGCTGTTGACGAACGGAGTCATGCTGTTGATGTTGAGTCATAATGTTGACACGCTGAGTCATACTATTGACGTGCTGAGTCATTCTGTTGACGTGCTGAGTCATGTGACGTGTAGAGTCATGCTGTTGACGTACTGAGTCATGCTGTTGATCTGCTGAATCATGCAGTTCACCTGCTGGTTCATGCTGTCGACCTGCTGAGAAGCTTCCTCTGCTTCTCTCAGTAGATCAACAAAATGAACCAACAGGCCAACAGAATGCTTTAGCAGATCCACAACATGCCTCAGCACGTCAACAGCACGATCCTACTTCCATTTCTAGCTACAATTGCACGCTGTAACCATCCCCCTTCCCACTTCCCTCTCTACCTCTCTCTACCCCTTTTCACTCCACTCCTCACAGTTCGCGCCCTGTCGTGCATCAAGGCACAGATCTGCGTGGCAGCAGTCTTGAATGGCTGGACTGGCGACCCCTGCTACCCCATTGTGTGGTCGGGGGTCATCTGCAATACCTCTCTCCACATCTCTCCACCCCTCCATTTCCCCCTCACAGTTAGTGCCCTGAAATGCATCAAAGCACAGATGGGCGTGGCAGCAGCTTTGGACGGCTGGACTGGAGACCCTTGCTACCCCATTGTGTGGCCGGGAGTCATTTGCAAGACCACTCGCCAGCACTCTTCTGTCATTGGCCTGTGAGTGGCTGAAAGATTGTTTGCTTAAGCAGATATTCGAATCTGGTGCTTGCGTGCATGTGCGTGTGTCGCTGCTTTGTCCTGTCCTGCTTGCTGCCTCTGCGGCTTTTGAGACGTCTCAAAAGTGTGTCGTTGGTTTCTGAGGCGCCTAAAAAATCATCAAAAAAATCTTCTCAAAAGCGTGTTGTTGCTTTGTGCTGTTCTGCTTGCTGCCTCTGCAGCAAGTGTGATGCCTCACCCCCTTCGCTCTCCTTCTCTCCTCTCCTTGGCCTCACTGTTCCTGTCCTGTGTGCCACCTGTCCCCTCCACCATATGCCACCTGTCCCCTCCTCCATGTGCCACCTGTCATCTCCTCTATGTGCCACGTGTCACTCCACCTACCAGGAATCTAACCCACCTCAACATCCCCGGTCCATTCTCAGCCTGCATCTCCGACCTCACCGCACTCCAGACTCTGTAAGCTTCTCTTCTCACCTCCAGCGTTCCGTTCCCCTTATGAACACAAATCTGTTTTGAGACGTTTCGAAACCTATCTATGCTCACTCACGTGCTTAACCTTTCTCAGCCTGCATTTCCGAGCTCACCGCACTCCAGACTCTGTAAGCATCTCACCCTCCTCTACCCTCCGACTCCTTACTTGAACAATCTGTAGCCCATCCATCTTTTTTTGAGGCGCCTCAAATATAGAGCTTGACATTGACACACTCCAAACTCTGTAAGGTTGTCACCCTCCACCCTCAGAATCCTTACCTGAATGGTCTGTGACCCATCCCATCTCCCACCCTTCACTTTCCGTGGATCGCTCCCCTTTATCTACCCCTCGATACCCGCCCATCTCTATCCACTCTGCAGTATCATTCCTCCGCTCTCTCTTCCTCCTTTTTTCCTCCTTTTTTCCTCCACTCTATCATTACTTTTTTGCTCCATACTTACTCCTCCTTCCTCCGCTCCATACTTACTTCGTCCCTCTCTTTACTCTGTCCCTGTGTCCTTCCTCCCTCCTCCCTGCCCCCTTCCTGCACTCTCCCCCCCCCCTCTCTCCACGTGGCAGCTGGATGGATCACAACCAGCTTCAAGGCTCCATCCCCTCATCTATTGGGAACCTCGCGCACCTGCGATCCATGTACGTCCCATGGGGCAAGGATACTTCTGTCAGCTGTGCTCGTGCATCCAGTAGGATGAAACGATTCACGTGTATTTTTCAAGGCTCCATCCGCTCGTCTACTGGGAACCTCACGCAGCTGCGATCCATGTACGTCCTTAAGAGAAATGCGTCCGCCGCATATGCCGTATAGAGTTATGCACGACATCTCCTTCTCCCCTCACCATTTCCCTGTTCTCCTGTTCTCCTTCCCCCTCTCCGCCCCCTTGTGTCAACAACAACCAGCAAGCTCAACAACAACAAGCCGTCAGGGCCCTGTCCCTGCCGCCCTTGCTGCTCTGCCTCTGACACCTCTCTCCCTCCACTGCTGTGTCCCCACCTCTCACTCTTTCCTCCTTCCCCTTTCCTGCCCTTCTTGCATCAACCAGCAAGCTCAACAACAACAAGCTATCAGGGCCTGTCCCCACTGCTCTTGCTGCTCTGCCCAACCTGCAATACTTGTGAGTGCTCTCTTGCTCCCTGCTCCCTGCTCCCTGCTCCCTGCTCCCTTGCTCTCTTCTTCCAGTCAGGCATGTCCCCTGACCTGACGAGCTATGTGGATTTTACTTTTGAGAATTCTCAACAGTGAAAATCCCCTGACGAGCATGAAGATTGTTAGTAACAGGTATCCCTTGTCACCTGTTATCAAAAGTGGGGCTTGACCTTTCATAACCTCTCCACTTTTGACATGCCTCAGATCAGAAGCTATCTTGTGTCTCTAATAATATTTCATTGTGTCTCTTTTTTTTATTGCCACCTGACATGCCTCATTGTGGCACCTATCTTGTGCCACCTGCTCTGTTTCTGCAACCCACGCCCTCGCTCTCCCTCCCCCACCTGATCTGTGTCTCTCCCCACTACAGGGACCTGAGCTCCAACAATCTCTCCGGGCCTTTCCCATTCAACAGCTCAAGCAATGTGCAGATCGGGTTCGTTTCGAAAAACTCACGCGAACCCAGTGCCCCCCCACACCACGCACCCCAACTTATTTTTGAGTCGACTCAAAAAACGGGTTCGTTTTGAAAACCCACACGAACCCAGTGCCCCACACCACGCACCCCAACTTCTCCTTCAATCTCCCTCCCTCGCTACCAAACCCCCCTTCCCCACCCCCCACCCACCCACTCCCCATCCCCATCGCCATCCCCTTCCTTTGCCATCCCCATCCCCTTCTCTATTCCTTTACTGCACATTCCCAATCATCTTGCTCTCTCTTCCAGTGTCTCCAGCAACATCAATCTCTGCTCCCCAGGCTCGTCCTTCAATCTCCCTCAACACCCTCCCCCGCCCCTCCCCTCCCTCCCTCCCTCCTCCCCTCCTCTTTCCCACCATATCCTCAAACCCTCTCTCTTCTCTTCTCTTCCCTTCCTTGCCTCCGTTTCTTCCCTTCTCAACGTCTCCTGCAGTGTCTCTGGTAACAACAAACTCTGCTCATTAAACTCGTCCTTTAACCTCTCTCAACCCCCCATTCCCCCCCCCCCCTCTTCTCAACACGCTAAATTCATTGCCCTCCCAAATTCCTCCGCAGTGTCTCCTGCAACATCAATCTCTGATCTTCCAATTTCTTCCTTTAACCTGTTGTTTGTCATCCACCCTACCCCTCTCCCGCTTGACTTCCACATCCTCTTGCTTGCATTTGCAGTATCTCAGGCAACTTAAACCTCTGCTCTCCAGACGCCTCTTTTGGCCTCCTTCCCTGCAACCTGACCATCCCCACCGCCCCCCCCCCGCCTTTACCGTTCTCTGCTTCCGTTTTCCTTCTATCCCCCTTCCCCCTTGCAGTATCTCAGGAAACTTAAACCTCTGCTCTCCAGACGCCTCCTTCGGCCTCCCTCCCTCTCCTACTCCCTCGCAACATCCTCGTCCCTCTGTTCCCTCCACTGATTCCCTTGTCCCTCTACCCTCTTCTCCCCTTCACTGCAGTATCTCCGGCAACATCAACCTCTGCTCCCCAGGCTCCTCCTTCGGCCTCCCTCCCTGCAACCTCACCACCACCACAGCCCCCTCCTCCTCATCTGACACGTCAGCACAAGCTGCCACGTCACCAGCAGCCATGAGCACAGCCGTCCTCATGGCGCTCATCCTAGGTGTCATCATCGGCGTGCTATTGGTGCTCCTCGCCAGCTGGCTGCTGCTGAGGTGGCAGCAGCGGGCGGCAGAGGGAGGAGGCATGGGGGGAAGGAGCAGTGCTGGTGGTGGTGGCGGTGGTGTGGGGGGTGATGGGCTGGGGCAGCAGCCGCCTGTGGTGGTGTATGTGCATGGGGACACGGGGGCTGTGACTGTGCAAGCAGCAGGTATGGGCACACACTCACTCTCCCTATCTCCCGCTCTCCCACTCCCTCTCTCCTGTTGATGAATACCGAGTCGCCTAAAGAATGCGGTCAGCTCAGTTGACTGTAAGGTTGGGTTGGGGAGCAGCCACCTGTGGTGGTGTATGTGTATGGGGACACGGGGGCTGTGACTGTGCAAGCAGCAGGTATGGGCACACACTCACTCTCCCTATCTCCCGCTCTCCCACTCCTTCTCTCCTTTTGATGAATACCGAGTCTCCTAAAGAATGCGGTCAGCTCAGTTGACTGTAAGGTTGGGTTGGGGAGCAGCCACCTGTGGTGGTGTATGTGTATGGTGACACAGGACCTGTAACTGTGCAAGCAGCAGGTATGCATTGCTTTGGGCGGATAAATTGACCCAGAAAGAAAGATACTCGGTATTTCCTCTTCAGGGCCTATTTCTCACGAGACATTTCATCCTTCCTTCCCTGCTGCTTCATTCTTCTCCTCCTTATGTAGCATGCACTACCACATGCGATGTGAATTTCACCCACCCGTCAACTCTCCCTCTCCAACTCCCATCCCATGTGCCTCCCTGTCACTCCCCTCCCCATCACCCCATGCAGACTCTGCCGGTGCGACTCTCTACACGCAGAGCAACCAGGTGCTCCTCTCGCCCAAGGCTGCTACAGGCTTCCCCCCAGCAGCAGTAACGGCAGCAATAAAGGCAACCCTGTTCCTCCTTCTCCCGCCCTGTCTCCCCATCACCACCCCATGCAGACTCTGCCGGTGCGACTCTCTATACACAGAGCAACCAAGTCCTCCTCTCGCCCAAGGCTGCTGCAGGCCTGACCCCTGCAGCAGTAACGGCAGCAGCAGCGGCAAAGACAGCAGCGATAGAGGGAACCGGCCCACCAGCAGTTAAAGCCGGTGAACTCTCAGCTGTACCTGCTAGCCAGGAGGAGACTCCCCTGCTGGCTCCTGCACCTGGCAAACCATTAGCAGCAGCAGGAGCAGCAGCAGCAGCAGCGGCAGCAGTAGGAGTAGGAGCAGCAACAGCAGTAGGCGGAGCCGTATCGGCAGCAGCAGCAGCAGTGTCAGCAGCACCGAGAGAGGGGACGGCCAAATTACCTGCGAATGAAAAGACTGCATCGATTCCTTGTGCAGTTCCGGCTGTAGCCGAGGGTTTAGCAGTTGGAGGAGCAGCAGCAAGCGCAGGTGCTACCAATGCTACGGATTCTAATGGTGCTAGTGCTACTCCTGCTGCTGCTGCTGGTGCAGTCACTGCTGCTACAGCTCCTGCCGCTACACCCGCGGCTGCTACACCTGCCGATCATTCCATGGCATGCATCGTCGCCCCAGGCTCCTCCGCGCGCCGCTTCACCCTCGCAACCCTCTCAACTGCAACCAACCACTTCTCACCGTCTGAAATCATCGGGTCAGGGGGCTTCGGGCCGGTGTACAGGGGTGTGTTACCAGATGGACGAATGGTAGCAGTGAAACGCAGGGATGATGATTCATTGCAGGGAGACAGGGAGTTTGTGAATGAGGTGGATCTGCTCTCCCGAGCCTGCCATCCGAACCTGGTGGAGCTGGTTGGGTACTGCAGAGAGGCTCGGCAGCACCTGTTGGTGTATGAGTTCATGCCCAACGGGACGGTGAGGGAGCATCTGTACGACCAAATGGGGCAACCGCTGGGGAGGCTGAGATGGCTCACCAGGATACAAATCGCCCTTGGAGCAGCAAGAGGTGAGTTGCATTGCAGCTAATGCATGGGGTAATGCTGGTATGGATTGGTAGTTAGGCAGGTGGGACGGTGAGGGAGCACCTGTACGACCAAATGGGGCAGCCGCTGGGCCGACTGCCGCTGAATGGCCTGCTGAGCTGAACGCATGGTTGAGCTGAGCTGAGGTGAACGCATGGTTGAGCTGAGCTGAGGTGAACGCATGGTTGAGCTGAGCTGAGGTGAACGCATGGTTGAGCTGAGCTGAGGTGAACGCATGGTTGAGCTGAGCTGAGGTGAACGCATGGTTGAGCTGAGCTGAGGTGAACGCATGGTTGATGGAATACCAACCAACCTCTTCTCCCCAACCTCCCCCCTTCCCCCTCCACCCCCCCACACTCACACACATGCCACCCACACAGCCATCCAGTACCTACACACGTGCCTCCAGCCGCCCATCATTCATCGTGACATCAAGACGAGCAACATCCTGCTGGACGGCCGGCTGAACGCGCGGGTGGCGGATTTTGGACTGTCCCGCGTGGGCCCGCAGGACAACAGGAGCCACGTGTCTACGGTTGTTAAGGGCACTGCGGGATACCTGGATCCTGAGTAAGTGATGGTTACTCAAGTGTTGCTTAGAGTAAGTTTTTTGCAGACCTTTAAAATAAGAATTCATCAATTTGATGCTCGTTTACCCTCCAAAGTGGAACAGGCTGTAACCCTCTTTCTCTCGTCATTCTTTAACCTCCCCCTCTTCCTCCCTCCCTCCCTCTCCCCCTCCCTCCCTCCCTCCTCCCTCTCTCACAGGTACTTCACCATTCAGCAGCTGACAGACCGCAGCGACGTGTTCAGCTTCGGGGTGGTGCTGCTGGAGCTGATCTCAGGCCAGCAGCCCATCGACCTCAACCGCCCGCAGCAGCACTGGAGCATCATTGACTGGGTGAGTAAGGATTGTTGGCTGTGTGGGTAGGCTCGTCTTTCCCTGTATGCTATTCATTAGTAGCTTATGTTTCTTGTTTCTTGCTATTCAGGATTATTCAAGTGCTCTTTCCTCGTTTCCCCTGGCCCCCATCCTTCCAGGCATGCGAACACTTGCAGCAGCGCAACATCCGGGCAGTGGCAGACCCCACGCTATTCCCCCACGAATGGTCTGTGTCGAACCCAAGAGCCTTAATTTCCCTCCTTCCCCCCCCCCCCCCCCCCCCCCCCCCCCCCCCCCACCTCCCTCCCCTTCCCTTCCAGGCGCGAGACCACCTGCAGCAGGGCAACATTCGGGCAGTAGCAGACCCCACGCTATTCCCCCAGGAATGGGACGAGGAGGCCATGTGGCGGGTGGCAGAGGTTGGCATGGTGTGTGTCGAGCCAAAGAGCCTCAACCGCCCTCCGATCACCGAAGTGGTGGCTGAGTTAGAGCATGTGCTGGCACTGGAAGTGAGCAACGCTGCTAACGCCGCTGCCGCTGCTGCGGCGGCTGCGCATGCTGCTGCTGCCGCAGCTGCTAATGCGGCGGCTGGTGCTGTGAACTCTGCGGCGGCACGAGGAGCAGGAACAGCAGGAGCAGGAGCAGCAGGGGCTGGTTCCGGTGCTGCTGCAGGGGGTACTGCTGTTCCGGCTCCTGGTTTTGCGGCAGGGATAGGAGATCCGCAGCAGCAGCGGCAGCAAGCACAGCTGCAGCAGCTGCTTCTGGGACAGGCACAGGCGAATTCAGATCTCCTCATGTCTGGCAGTAGAGCGAGTGGGACGAGTGGTGGGAGTGGGAGTGGGGGTGTGAGTGGAGTGAGTGCGGGGAATTTTGGAGGGGGCAGGGTGAGTACGTTTTCAGGGAGGTACAGCTCTGGCAGGTTCCGGAGCAGCTCTGCTGTGAATTCCACTGCAGTTGCTGGTCCTAGTGCTCCTGCTGCTCCTGGTGCTCTTACCGCTGCTGCTGCTGCTGCTGCTGCGCCGGGTGTTTCTGGTGCTGCCGCTACCGCTGCTGCTTCTCCTGGTGCTGGTAATGGAGCTACTGCTGCTGCTGTTGCCGACGCAACAGGTGCAGATCAAACAACGGGCAGCGCTGATGCAAGCAGTCTCAACTGGTGAGGCTGGAAGCAGTCTTGTCCGAAGTGACATGATGGAAGCAGCTCAGACAATTGGCGTTGAAAGCAAACCAACTGTGCATCAACCAGGAACTACAGTATACATCAACCAGTAAACACTTCTATCAGATCTAGTATAGTGAGGAACATCATTTACAGGAAGCAGCTTCAATAGTTACTTGCGTCGGTTATAGAATTTTTTTCATTATGTCCATAACTACATTGTAAAGTGAGACATACACTAGTGATATCATCTATGAGCTCGGGTGACAGCCCCAACCTCTTCCAAACCGTGAACATCTTCACCGAATCATAACTTATTTCACCATTTGCAAAGCTTCTGAACCCTCCTGTTTCAATCGTTTAGCTGAATTTGAGACCAAACTATTCTTCGGGCTCCCCGCGCTCCAGTAACCTCGTCGTGATGGCAATTTCTAGGGAGCGGAGCGGAACTTCCACCACCACCACGCGGGGAATCTGACGCTCAACCAGTCAGGTAAGACTGGGGAGCAGAAACGTGAGAAAGGCAATCCACACCTCGATATCCTGCCTCGTTCTCGATTTCGTCCATCCTTCACTTCGGCTCTGCTTTTGCAAGCACTAACATTTCCGCCATTGCCTTCAGAATTACGCAGCTCTCGAGAACGGTTTGGCCTTCCTCGAATTCCAGTCATGGGAGTCCATTTGAGATGCTCCTGATCCATTCCTAGCGACTCAGCTCGCCAGTCACTCAGCACAACACTACGATTCCGTAATCACCATTTACGCCGTTTCAGCAGCAGCAAGCGTAGAAAGAGTGTATTTTTTAAGGGATGAAGCGGGAGATGGATGGAGTCGGGCAAGTACTATCCGAGTTACCTGTAAGAGAGGTGCGCATGAGAGCGGCGTGGCTGAGGTTTCCTTTTCCAGTCTGCTGCTTGTAGCTTAAAAGTTGGTAATCATTTAAATTTCTTGGCTCTTTCTGCTTTCAGGGACCAAATAAGCATCCGAAGACAACGGGAAGTCTTTTGAGACCTGGTCAGTGTGAGTTACACCAGACTCATTGCCGTGAATGTTATTGTCAATGTGGTTCGGGCACACAATTCTTGGTCTTACCTGGCGAGACCGTATCTCCGTGCTGCTGCTTCTGTGATTTTGACACGGACATAGTTTCCGTTTTTTTTTTTTTTTTTTTTTTTTTTTGGCAGAGGTCACGAAGATCCTCTGTGATTTTTTAGAGGTTGCAGTAAACCATCTGCTCTACTTACGCTCCATATATCCTCCAGGTACTGCACCTCCCTGTCCGTCGGTCCTATTTTTCTGCCTCGTTAGGACATAACAGAGCCTTTGTAGGAACGTTAGATGCAGCAATTTTGCTTATTAATTCTGTAACTATTCATTCTTTTTTGTGTTCCCTTCTGTGTGAATTTCTCAATGCTGGTTTCAGAGATATTCCATCGCAGCCGCTTCGCATCGGTGCCTGTGTACTCCAGCAGGCATCCAGGCCTCCGGTGCTACATCCGAGACGCCATCAATGACCTTTCCCCGTATATTGACAAGGTATACGCAAGTTTTTAAGGTTTTTTAGGTTTTTAGTTGTTTTTTTAGTTTTTTTAGCTGCTACACCCGTGATGCCATCAGTGACAGTTCTTTGTACATTGACAAGGTACAAGCAATTGATTACAAATTTTCATGCCAGCACTGCCATCTCCTCAGCCCATCGTCAGCTTCCTTCTCTCTCCCTCATCTCATGTTCCGCATCCTATTTGACTTACCGTTCTTCCTTTTCTGTTCCGGCGGTTTACAGGGGGTTGTTGAACGAATTGACCTTGCCATTTTCTCAACAGATGGAAGAAAAGTCTACGAAAGAATAGTATTTGACTTCTCCATCTTCCAGCCAGCGCCTTCTGGCAGCGTAGCAGCCAAGCAGGACAGCTTGGAGTCCATTGAGTATTGCCTGCGCTCGTGTCTCGTCAAAGCGTCTGTTTCAGAGTGCCTTCAGCGACCCCTCCCTCAAGGTGCGAGTGTGCATAGCAAATGGTCTCATTTAAAAAAAGAACATGTAATTTTATCTGCTTCGTCAGCATCAGCCTGTGCAATGTGCTCTCAGGAATCGTTCAGCAAGCCACTGGACTTCTTCAAATCGTTCCTCCTCTGGCTCACTTTCATAAGTACCTCTATGTTCTGTTTTCCTTTTCAGAGTGTGCATGGGAGCTCGTTGCTCACTCCAAGAACCTCCCTTCAGGCAGAAGCTCAAGCGGCCAGTTCTGGATCCCAGCTAATTCTTCCTCAGAAGGCTGTGTGCCTGATCAAACAACGTGCATGAGTACCCCTGGTGCTCCTGTTGGAGATGCTCGAGCAGAGACTCGCTCAGCTAATGGAGGTGTTGAGCTTCAGGAGTTGAATGCAGGACTGAATAAAGCACAGTGTAGTGGGCCATCTGGCAAGGTACCGAGGTTATTTCCAATCAAGTCCATGAACACTGGAATGCTGTCACTGCAGCTCTATATTGAGCGTCCCTAATTTCTCCTTTTTGTTGTCTTCTGTAGTGACCTTCTGTAATCTGAGAGTGTTTTACAAACTGGATAATCAATTTGCTCTGCTTTGTGCATCCGATTCCCAAACCTGGACCTAATGTCGCGTACACACTACCAATACACTATTTCGATATTCCCTGAGCCACTAGGTCACAGTGGTTCTAGGGTCTTTGCCATGAGTACATAAATTCGCGGTTCGTTTGCTGAGCCGTCCACTCTCCTCGCAAGTTCCGACCCCAGATCACTATCGGGTCCCAGACGTTCCCACGCCTTTTCTTCTGCAAACCCCTTATTTTCGCAACGCATCGCAAAATCTTTAGGGATCGTCTCATCCACGAGCACACGCGTCCCATGGCTGACGCGAAAGATATCTTGGGATTGCCGAAAAAAGGACTACCAGGCACGCCTGGCGGAGCGGGGTTGGGAGGAAGCGCTGGAGTTCCAGGGAATGCGGGGAAGGGGAAGAAGCGGGAGCGGGATGGCGGAGGGCGGGCAATCCCCGAGGGGATCAGCAGAGAGGTGGGGAACGGAAAGGGAAAGCCGCCGAGAGGGAGCTGCTGGGAAGGATTGAGTGTGACGAGGAAGGTCAGGAGAAGGAGTTGGGAAGTGTGTGGAGGGGAGGCTGGACGGATTTTTTAAATGTGTTAAGAGGGAAAGGTCAGGAGAACGAGCTGGGACGTGAGGGGGTGTGGAGGGGGGGTTGGGCGGGGGTGGGGAAGCGAGTGGGAAAGAGGAATTGGATGGAGCAAGTAAAAGTGGAAGCAAGAACACAGCAGAGGCAATGGAGGAGGATTTTTTGTAGTCAACGTGCAATAGTGGTGGACACTCATTAGGGTTTCATGGCAATTTGAGCATTACTTGTTGAGTGCTTCGTTTCCCCCTATCTGTCCCATGCCTGCCTACTCCTCCTTCACCAGGTCTATGCGCTCACGGGTGGTTTACCCCCAATAATGCCAACGTTCAACCCTATGCTCCTGCTAAAGAAAAGAACCACGCCCTCAGAAAAGGTTTGGCTGCCACTGAGCCATGTAGAATGTACGTGTATAAGATGTGTTGTATGTTAGCTTCCGTACTATGCTGGTGTTAATAGCCTCCATTGTAAACTGTACTACAAAATGTAAAGATTAAATGGAGCCATGTTTGCCTCCTCCAAAGATTCCTCACTCTTTCTCACACTCCGTCCAATGATCATTGGTCCCCCTTTCCTTCCGTGCCCAACCCCTCTCTCTTGTTTCTTTCTGTCAGGTGACGTGGCAGTGGAAACCCATTGTTTCATCTGCCCGGCCAGACGACCTGAGAATCTACCACTGGGTATGCTGATTTTTTTTTTTTGTTAAACAAGTAATGAGAACAAAGACAGATTAGTGGCAAGGCTACTGCATGTGTGGAGCTGAAGCTCCTGGGGAATGAGAGGTGTAGCTGACATGTATGTGTGTTTGATGTGACTTTTGAGTCGACTCAGAAGTCACCTGATTAGTGGCAAGGCTACTGCATGTGTGGAGTTTAAGCTCCTGAGGAACGTGATGTGTAGCTTACATGTGCGTATTTGATGAGCGTGTGCATGCATGTTCGTGTGTGTGTGTGTGTGTGTGTGTGTGTGTGTGCGTGCGTGCGTGCGTGCGTGTGCGTGTGTGTGCGTGTGCGTGTGCGTGTGCGTGTGCATGTGCATGCATGTGCGTGTGCGTGCATGCGTTCTCTTGTCTGCGTCTGTGTGAAAGCTTAATCACATGCTTTGCTTTGCTTTGCTTTGCTTCGGTGTATATTGGTTTGGCCAAACAGGTTAAAGTGGTGGACGGCAAGGTTCCCACAGAGGATTATTCGTTTGCCAAGTACAACAAGGTCAGTTCGAATTAAGCTGATGTTAACACTGCTGTGTAACCAGCACAGTAACACATTGAAGAAGAAAACAGCGCATTAACACTTCAACGAATAGAACCAGCACAGTAACAGCCTGATGAACATTTTCTTTGCACCTCTACCTCCACCCATTCCGACCTCCTCCCACCCCCTCTCTACCCCACTTATTTATACTCTCCCACCAATTCCCACTCCCCTACTGCTCCCAATCCTCTCCTCCATATCTCTTCCCAGTCGACCAACTCATCCTATCCTCCGTTTTCTCCTCCCCCATATCCATCCGTTGGCAATTTTTGAGGCGCCTCAAAAATTGCTCCCACTCCTGTCCTCCCTATCTCTTCCCAGTCGACCAACTCATCCTATCCTATACTCCGTTTTCTCCTCCCCCTTTTCCATCCAGCCACCTCAAGTGCTCCGGTATACCGACGAGGAATACAAGAGCCTGCTTTACCACCCTGTAAGTCCTGTAGCTTGGGATTTTATTATGACGTTCTTTTTATTTAAAGGCAACTCAACACAACAGTCATGACCCTATCGTGCCTCTTTCCTAATCAGCACAACTCAGCACAACAGTCTTTCCTGTTATGCCTTCAGCTTGCCCATTCTTGCCCACCTCTTCTCCTCCTTTTTTTTTCCTCCAAATCGGTGGCGTGGTTGTGACGCCCTTGAGTGATACAGCTTCCTCCCTCCCTCCCTCCCTCCCTCCCTCCCTCCCTCCCTCCCTCCCTCCCTCCCTCCCTCCCTCCCTCCCTCCCTCCCTCCCTCCCTCCCTCCCTCCCTCTCTCCCTCTCTCCCTCCCTCTCTCCCTCCCTCCCTCCCTCCCTCCCTCCCTCCCATTCGCCCCAACCCGCTCTCTCTCAATACCCCACCAGCGCTGGACCTGTGAAGAAACAGACGCGCTCATGGATCTCTGTGCATCTCTTTTTCAGTCACCTCACAAGTTTCCTTCCCTTGCCTCGTGTTCTCCGGTCTATGCTTCTCCGTCCTTCAATCCCACTCCAGCGGTGGACCCGGGAAGAAACAGACGCGCTCATGGATCTCTGCGCCCGATTCGGCCCGCGCTTTATCGTCGTTGCTGACCGTTACAACACGGACGCCGAGCGTCACAACGCAGGCATCGATCATCAGCCTGCTGCTCCAAGTCGTGCCAGTGCATCGACAGGGGCGTCTGCTGCTGCTCGTGCTGCTGCTGCTGCTGGTGCTGCTGCTGCTGGTGGTGCTGGTGCTGCTGGGAATGGTGGTGCCGATGCTGCGTCTACTGATGCTGCAGCTGCTTCTTCGGATGCGGATGCTCGCATTTGTAAGGAGGAGCCGTTCTCAGGGACTGGGCCTGTGAAAAACGAGCCTAGGGAAACCGCTGCTGGTGCAGGAGAGGCAGGAGCAGGGGCAGCATGTGGGACGGCAGGAGGGTCGGCAGGAGGGGCTAGAGGGGTGGCAGGTGGGGCGGCAGTGGTTGGAGCTTCTGTACCAAAGGCTGGGGAACCAAGGCCAAGTGCGGTGAAGAGGAAAGAAAGGACGGTGGAGGAGATTAAAGAGCGGTACTACGATGGTGAGTGAAGGATTCTTTCTTTCTAGGGGCCTCAAATGATGTATTGCTGCATGCGAGTCAAGTTTGGATTAGAGAGCATTTTTTCAAGATTTGTGGGGGTGGTGCAGCGCTCTTCTGCATGGGTCTAGTGGTTCTCATGCAAACTGGTACCACTGATAGATGGAGGTACAACTGACCGAGGCGCATGTAAACATCGTATGGAGGTACCACATCTGTAAACGTTTCCCTCTTTAACCTCTCATCATTCGCCCTGTGCTGTGCAGTGACCAAGAAGCTTCTTGCATCACGAGCAGCAGCAGGCGAAGAAGTGCCAATGGGTTTATTGCCTAAGGTGGGTGGGTGGGTGGGTGGGTGGGTGAGAGACAAATATTGAGACACTCAAACGAGTTTTGGGCTGACTCAAAACACGTCCCATTTCAAGCAGCAGGCGAAGAAGTGCCAATGGGTTTATTGCCTAAGGTGGGTGGGTGTGGGTGAGAGACGAATTTTGAGGGTGGGTGAACGAGTCTGCGTTGCATTCCCTGTGGTCTGCTGCATTACAACATTCATTTGCACTGAGGAAGATACACAACACACCCCTTAACATCTCATCGCCCGACTTCCCTTCCCCCTCTCCCTCCCTTCCCCTTCCTTCCCCTTCCTCCTCTTACTCCGCCTCATCCCCCCCTTCAAACCTCTTATTCAGGACGGGTACAACATGCATGCTGAGGTGGAGCATAGCGTACGACCCTGCTGCCGCCCCCCATTCTTTCCCTTCTCCTAACACATTTCCCGCTCTCCTCTCCCCTTCCTCCTCTTACTCCCCTCCCCCCACCCACCCCCTCAGGATGGGTACAACATGCATGCTGAGGTGGAGCGCAGGTGCAAGACCTGCGCTCCACCTGCGCTCCACCTGCGCTCCACCTGCGCTCCATGAGGAGGTGCAACACTCTCATCTCCGCCTCCTCCCCTTCCTCCCATTCCTCCAAACCACCCCCTCAGGACGGGTACAACATGCGTGCTGAGGTGGAGCGCAAGACTCTGCTGGCCGCACAGCTGGCGCTGACTAGGCGCCAGCTGGCAGAGGAGGAGAAGGTGAGGTGGACGAGAGGGTGAACTGGGGAGGGGGAGGGGGGGGTTGTGGGGTTGAGTTAATAGGAGGATTGATGATCAGAGTTGGACTGATGAGCAGGTGAAAGAGCACAAAGGAGAGACTGTAATGGAGGGTTTGAGACGTCTCTTTGCTTACTGTGCCCTTTCTTTGATTTCGTCACACAGGTGCTGGCAGTGGCGGAGAGGATTCTTAAAGCCCGGGGGATGGTCTGACTGACTAGCAGTTGCATTGCAAGAAGGCAAGGAGAGAGAAAGGGAGAGGGTTTGCGACGTGCCAAAACCATGTTGCATGTTGTGTTGCCGTTTTTCCCGTGTAATTGAACAGGTGCTGGCAGCAGCAGAGAGGATCTGTAAGGCTCGGGGGTGGACTGACGAGTAGTTGAAAGAGCACAAGGAGAGATTGCAGTCGAGGGAAAGGGTCTGAGACATGCCATAACCCATAACCATGTTGTGTGTCGATGTTTTCCCTTGTGGTTTAACAGGTGCTGGCAGAGGCGGAGAGAATTCTTAAAGCCCGGGGATGGACTGACGAGCAGTTGAAGGAACACAAGGAGAGATTGCAGTCGAGGGAAAGGGAAAGGGAGGAGCGGGAGAGGGAGGAAAGAGAGAGGGAGGAGAGGGAGAGGGAGGAGAGGGAGAGGGAGGAGAGGGAGAAGGAGAGGGAGAAGGAGAGGGAGACGGGGGAGAGGGAGGTGGAGGCGAGGAGGCGGCAAGCAAAGCAGCAAACTGTGAAGCTGGTGAGGAGCAGGGGAAAGCTGGTAACGCTTTACACCACCATTGATTGTAACGCCATTCTTACAATCTTTCCAGCTTCTTTGTCATGCCCATACTGTTGAGAAGTAGTGGTTTCTGAGAAAGTTTATACACAGCAGTTTAACCTGCTACTCCATTCCCTCCCTCCCCCTCCCCCTTTTCGAGAGGAGAAGTGGGAGGTCGGGGAGGGGGAGGGAGGTAGGGAGGGAGGAGGGAGGGAGGGCAGGGATTTGGAGGGCGGGTCTTTCTTTCTGTCGTCGTCTTCTTTGAGGAAGAAGGCCGGAAGGAAGGCTCGGTCTTTCTTCTTTCTTTAGGGCTGCTTTCTTTTGCTTTCTGTTTGTTCTTTCGGATTCTTTCGGTTGCTTGTTCGGGGGGATTGATCTTTTAAGGGCCTTCCTTAATGGATGGCGTTGGTTTTTTACTTTTCTTTACGGATTAGGGCTTGATTTCTTTAGGTCTTTCCTTCCTTCCTCTCCTTCCTTCCTTCCTTCCTTCCTCCTTCTCTTCCTTCCTTCCTTCCTTCCTTCCTTCCTTCCTTCCTTCCTTCCTTCCTTCCTTCCTTCCTTCCTTCCTTCCTTCCTTTCTTTCTTTCTTTTGTTCTTCCTTCCTTCCTTCCTTCCTTCCTTTCGTTCTTCCTTTCTTTCGTTCTTCCTTTCTTCCTTTCTTTCGTTCTTCCTTTCTTCCTTTCTTTCCTTCTTCCTTTCTTTCTTTCTTCCTTTCTTTCCTTCTTCCTTTCTTTCTTTCTTCCTTTCTTTCTTTCTTTCCTTCTTCCTTCCTTTCCCTCTCAAAAACTGAAAGCGGGCTCTAAATTCCACCTCACCCCACCCTCCCTCTTCCCCTCATTCCTCTTCCCCTTTTTCCCACATGCCGCCATTTCCCCATCCCCCACCCTCTCCTCTCGAGCAGCCCCACCCGCAGCAGCAGTCAAACTTCTGGAAGATTTCCAAAGACTTGACATTCTGAACTCATTCCCCCCCTCTCTCCCTTTTAACCCCACGCCTTCCCCACAGGCCGCCATTCCCCCATCTCCCACCCTCTCCTCTCGAGCACCACCACCAGCAGCAGTCACTCCCCTGCAAGACGCCCACGTGGCACCCCCATCTGTACCCGCATCAGCGTCCACATCAGCAGCTGCCCATGCTGACATGGCGCCAGCTCATGCGCCCGAGCGGGCACGTCAGCACGCGGTGTCAGCAGGAGGGTCTCGGGGCGCTCTTGCTGCCCGGTGTCAGCCCAGGCCGGCAATGCGAGAGTGGTGAGTTTGAATGTGTTTGTGTGCATGCATGTGACTTTTGAGTCCACTCAAAAGTGCATGTGTGTAAACGCCAGCAAGGGGATCAGTCAGTGGGTGGGACCCTTGTTGCTCTGGTGATTTATGAAGTGATTTTCTGAGTAAGTCTCAAAGTGGGTCCACCCACTGACAAAGGGTCCCAAAAAAAGTGGTTTACAAAGTGATTTTCTGAGTGCGTCTCTAAAAATCACTTTTTACACGTGGCATCAGTCAGTGGGTGGGACCCTTGTTGCTCTGGTGTTGGCCCAGGCTGGCAACGCAAGAGTGGTGAGTTGGTGTGTTGCGTTGGTGGTGAGGTGGAGTAGGTGGGTGTGTGTGAATGTGACCTGTAAGTTTACTCAAAAGCTCGTGTGTAAACGCAACGCAAGCAAGGGCATCAGTCTGTCAGTCATTGGGCAGGAAACTTGCTGCCCTCTCTCTTCGCACCATCCGCCTGCATCCTTCTCCTCTGTGTTAACTTTAAGTACTTGTGCGGAAGTGCCTAAAACTTCACAACAAGCGTAAACTCAGCAACACTTAACTTCCCTTAATGCCCTCCAAGTGTGACAACTTGTCACCTCCCAGCCAAAGGCATAGTCTAAGGGAGTAGTTATGCCTTGCTTAGCTCGTAGGAAGAGTAAGTTGGTCGAGCAGCGACGTTTCTACCCTCATCAATACGTAGTGACAGAGAAAATTTCACTCAAAAGGATGAAGTACAACTGAACACAAGCACGCATTTATATTTCGCCTAACATACAAGCATAGGAAGATAGCAAACGGTTGATAAACTGCATTTGCAGGACTTCGCCAGCTTGTCCTTGAAAACGGTTGTCAAACTTCGGAGGAATTTGGCTTGATTCACCTCTGTAGAAAAACTGTCTTCAAATTTCATATCTGCCAAACGCCCCTGCTGACTCCTCTTACGAGCGTTCGCGAATTCGGATGACCACTCATGATCACTCGTGTGAAATACCGTTTTCACGAACGTTCACAGTTGAAAAACGATCTTACCCCGATTTTGTCCCTGTGTCGAAATTGTCGCGTTACGCGCGCAAACTTTCCGGCAAATTTACATGTTCGCCGAGTCAACGCGGAAGGAAATTGGTTTTTCAACCGAAATCTAGAGCACCCCCTTGACTGCAAGCATGCACGACTGATATTTCGGTCGTGCGGCACTGTGCACTGACGTGCGCATTACTGCGCGCGGGCAGGGCGATCATTCGCCCTGTTCAGTTGCGATCGTGCCCATAGTGCACGCTCGCAACAGGTTGAGGCACACGCACGATCGCACACGCACGGACCTGAGGGCCCACACGCACGATCTGGACCCCACGCGCGGATCCTGCAGTTGACCTTAACTGACGCACAACTATCTCGCGAACACTCGCGACTCTTCACGAACACAGACGAAAACAGAAAAACAAGAACTAACATGAACCCTCACAAACATTCATGAACCACGCACAGACTTAACCGGATTTCACGAACACAGAAATTCACGAACATAAAATCAACACACACACATGACAACTCGCGAAACTACGCCAATGCACACGACATCTCCCAATCATTGACGGATTTTCACCATCGCTCAGGAACACACCCTTTCACGGAAACTCACATAACTCATGAACCGTCGAGCCGATTCGTGAGCCGTAAACAAAGAAAATGCGCAACTCACACACAGCAAATTACCCTCAAATCAAACACCTCAACAAGTCAGTCATTGGGCAGGAAACTTGCTGCCCTCTCTCTTCGCACCATCCGCCTGCATCCTTCTCCTCTGTGTTTCCCTTTTGAGAATTCTCAAAAGATCCTCAGATTTTCTCCTCTGTGTTTCCCACTTCTCCCCATTGCCCTTTCCTTTGAAACCCCCAACACCAGCCACGTGTGTTCGTGCGGGGCCCTCGCCTCGCCTCCACCCTCCTCGCTTCCACCACCACTGCTGGTGCTCGGATGGCCAAGCGCATCGAAAACACTCTTCAAGAGCTGGGGGTGAGTGGGATGTGTAGGTGTTAGATTGGGTGGGAAGGGGTACGTTGGGGAAGAGGGCAGGGGTCTGGCTGGCATCCACCCTGCTCGCCTCCACCACCAATGCTGGCGCTCGAATGGCCAAGCGCATCGAAAACACCCTTCAAGAGCTGGGGGTGAGTGGGATGTGTAGGTGTTAGATTGGTTGGGGAGGGGTACGTTGGGGAAGAGGGCAGGGGTCTGGCTGGCATCCACCCTGCTCACCTCCACCACCAATGCTGGCGCTCGAATGGCCAAGCGCATCGAAAACACTCTTCAAGAGCTGGGGGTGAGTGGGATGTGTAGGTGTTAGATTGGTTGGGGAAGAGGGCAGGGGTCTGGCTGGCATCCACCCTGCTCACCTCCACCACCAATGCTGGCGCTCGAATGGCCAAGCGCATCGAAAACACTCTTCAAGAGCTGGGGGTGAGTGGGATGTGTAGGTGTTAGATTGGTTGGGGAGGGGTACGTTGGGGAAGAGGGCAGGGGTCTGGCTGGCATCCACCCTGCTCGCCTCCACCACTACTGCTGGCGCTCGAATGGCCAAGCGCATCGAAAACACCCTTCAAGAGCTGGGGGTGAGCATCTTCAGTGGGGGGAGTGACATGTGTTGGGGGTTGGGTTGGGTTGGGTTGGGTTGGGTTTGGTCGGGCTGGGTTGGGTGGGATGGGGACAAGAATGAGGGTCTGGCCTCCTCCCTCCTCGCCTCCACTCCACCACCACTGCGGCGCTAGAATGGCCAAGCGCATGGAGAAGAGAACACGCTGCAGGAGCTGGGGGGGATTGGGGTGTGTAGGAGCTAGAGAAAGAGGGGGGGTCGGGAGTAATGGGGAAGGGAGCAGGGAACTGCCCTGCTCACCTCCACCACCACTGCGGCGCTAGAATGGCCAAGCGCATGGCCAAGCGCAGGAGCAGCTGTGCTGCAGGAGCAGCTGTGCTGCAGGAGCAGCTGTGCCGCACCATGGCGGTGGGACGGTCCAAACAGCCTCTCCGTCTGTCCACTTTTGAGACGTCTCAAAAGCCATGGCGGTGGGACGGTCCAAACAGCCTCTTCGTCTGTCCACTTTTGAGACGTCTCAAAAGCCATGGCGGTGGGACGGTCCAAACAGCCTCTCCGTCTATCCACTTCCTTCCTAATCTTCCCCCCTTGATTCTCTCCACGCCCCAGGTGCCCCTGGCCCCACGAGTTCCCACGAGGGAGGTGTGTGCTGAGTACGTGGCGCTGAGGAAAGAGGTGGTTGCGCTGCTAAACCTGCAGAAGAAGGTGGTTATTTTTATATGATAACATTCTTATGGGTTGATTGATTCGAAGTGGAATGTTACTTATCACGTCAGACTCGCACACACACACACACACTTGAATATGCACTCTCTGAAACGCATGCGGGAAACGTATACACGCACACGCGCGCGCGTGCGCACACACACACACTCACTCACTCAATCACTCACTCACTTATACGCTCACATTCACACTCACACACTTCCACCTGGCCTCATAAATCCACTCCAATCCAAACGTCCCATTGCATACTCACTCACACACTCACTCACTCATACACCCACTTTCACACACCCGATCTTACACACCCACTCCTCTCCGATCCAAACGTCTCTTCGCAGGTACACTGGAAGGAAAACGAGCTTACTCTCTTAAAGGAGAGCCTTCAAAATGAGACAGGGGGAGGGGGAGGCGGAGGAGGGGGAGGAAAGGGTGTTGCAGGGGGGGGCAAGGGAGTGGCTGGGGGGGCGAAGGGCGCAGGAGGGCCAACAGGGGCAAGCAAAGGGGGAGGGAAAGGGGGAGGGGTAGGAGGAACAGTGAAGGCAGGAGGAGGAGGAGGAGGAGGAGGAGGAGGAGGAGGAGGAGGAGGAGGAGGAGGAGGAGGAGGAGGAGGAGGAGGAGGAGGAGGAGGAGGAGGAGGAGGGGTAGGGGTGGGGGGAGGGGGGACAGAGAAAGGGGGAGGAGTTCAAACTGCTGCTGCAGCAGGAGCAGCAGCAGGGACAGCGACACACCAAAAGCACCACAACTCATCGAGCCTTGCACCCCTTTCCAAAGTGAGCTCGTGGTACAAGCTCTGGCTTTGAGGCGCCTCAAAACTAGGGAGCTCTGGGTACAAGCTCTGGCCCGCTCCAGGGTCTGACTTGATCTAAGCTCGTCTTGAGCCGCCTCAAAAATGTTGAGGCACCTGTTAAATGTTGAGGGGCATCAGAAACACAAAAGCACCATGACTGGTCCACCCTTGCTCCCCTTTCCAAAGTGAGTTCAAGCCTCAAGCCTCAAGCCTCAAGCCTCAAGCCTCATGCCTCATGCCTCATGCCTCATGCCTCATGCCTCATGCCTCATGCCTCATGCCTCATGCCTTCCAACCGAAGGGGTCTGACTCGATCCCCCATGTAAAGATTGCGGGTAAAGAGATAACTTTTGAGGCGCCTCAAAAGCCCTTTCCAGACTGAGCTCATGGCTCATGGCTCATGTCTTCCAGTTTTGGGACGTCTCAAAACTTTCCAGATTGGGCCCGGGGCTCATGCCTTCCAACCGAACGGGTCCGACTTGATCCACGTAACCAATCTGTTACATCACCCAACTAGCTATGCCCCTCCTCCTTCCTCAACTGCCTTGCATCGTCAGCACGCAATCTCCGGTCCACTCGCCTGCCAACTCGCCTGCCAACTGCCAACTCTCTTGTCAACTCTCTTGTCAACTCTCCTATCCAGGGTCAATTTTCCACCCTGCTCCTATCCCACCATATCTTTTGCGTCTCGAGCACGCGTCATTCACCCCTTCGCGCGCTCTCCTCCAAAAAAAAAAACATCCTTCTGCCAGTTTGCACGAATCCCAAACCTATCCCTTCACCCCATATACGAACCTACCCCCCTCCCTTGCATTTGTACCTGCCTGTCTTCCCTGGCCAGGCCTACCGAGGCTCAGGTTCGGAATCAGCTTCGGCGCTGCCTGCGTCATCGTCTGCTGTTGCATCAGGCTCGGCATCCGGTATGTCCATGCCATGCAAACTAGCTACTATGATAGTTGCACGGCATCTATTCAATGCTAAATCTATCATGTTCAATATGACCCACAAAATCTCTCCCATTTCATTCAATTTAACATGCAGCACCTATCACAAGTTAGGCGCTGCTTCAATTGCTGCGTCAATTGCTGCTTCAATTGCTGCTTCAATTGCTGCTTCAATTGCTGCTTCAATTGCTGCTTCAATTGCTGCTTCAATTGCTGCTTCAATCGCTGCTTCAATCGCTGCTTCAATCGCTGCTTCAATCGCTGCTTCAATCGCTGCTTCAATCGCTGCTTCAATCGCTGCTTCAATCGCTGCTTCAATTGCTGCTTCAATTGCTGCTTCAATTGCTGCTTCAATTGCTGCTTCAATTGCTGCTTCAATTGCTGCTTCAATTGCTGCTTCAATTGCTGCTTCAATTGCTGCTTCAATTGCTGCTTCAATTGCTGCTTCAATTGCTGCTTCAATTGCTGCTTCAATTGCTGCTTCAATTGCTGCTTCAATTGCTGCTTCAATCGCTGCTTCAATCGCTGCTTCAATCGCTGCTTCAATCGCTGCTTCAATCGCTGCTTCAATTGCTGCTTCAATTGCTGCTTCAATTGCTGCTTCAATTGCTGCTTCAATTGCTGCTTCAATCGCTGCTTCAATCGCTGCTTCAATCGCTGCTTCAATCGCTGCTTCAATCGCTGCTTCAATCGCTGCTTCAATCGCTGCTTCAATCGCTGCTTCAATTGCTGCTTCAATTGCTGCTTCAATTGCTGCTTCAATTGCTGCTTCAATTGCTGCTTCAATTGCTGCTTCAATTGCTGCTTCAATTGCTGCTTCAATTGCTGCTTCAATTGCTGCTTCAATTGCTGCTTCAATTGCTGCTTCAATTGCTGCTTCAATTGCTGCTTCAATTGCTGCTTCAATTGCTGCTTCAATTGCTGCTTCAATTGCTGCTTCAATTGCTGCTTCAATTGCTGCTTCAATTGCTGCTTCAATTGCTGCTTCAATTGCTGCTTCAATTGCTGCTTCAATTGCTGCTTCAATTGCTGCTTCAATTGCTGCTTCGATTGCTGCTTCGATTGCTGCTTCGATTGCTGCTTCGATTGCTGCTTCGATTGCTGCTTCGATTGCTGCTTCGATTGCTGCTTCGATTGCTGCTTCGATTGCTGCTTCAATTGCTGCTTCAATTGCTGCTTCAATTGCTGCTTCAATTGCTGCTTCAATTGCTGCTTCAATTGCTGCTTCAATTGCTGCTTCAATTGCTGCTTCAATTGCTGCTTCAATTGCTGCTTCAATTGCTGCTTCAATTGCTGCTTCAATTGCTACTTTTGGAGACAACTGATGCCTGTTGCTCACAACCCCCCCGTCAACACACTTCCTGCTCTCTCCACCCCTCATCCACACCTCTTCACCCCTCATCACCCGTCTCTATCCCCCTTCCACCACACCCCACCCCTCTGTGTCTCTCTTCGCAGGCGCAGCTTCCACACCGCGACCTGAAGTCGGGAGAAAGGTGAGATCAGGTTATGGTTCGTTTCCAAGTGGTGGGCTGATGGGAATAAAACATCAACTTGTGGTTTGTGATTTGGGTTCTTCCCTCTTTCTCCTTTGTTCTCAGTGTCTTTTGCCTTTCACACGCACAACCTCCCCCCCCGCCCCCCCCCCCAAAAATCTGAGTCGCTTTTGAGAATTCTCAAAAGTGATTTGGGTTCTTCCCTCTTTCTCCTTTGTTCTCAGTGTCTTTTGCCTTTCACATGCACAACCTCCCCTCCCTCCCCCCCCCCCCTCTTTCCCAACCACTCCCCCCCCCTTCCCCTCAACCCTTCCCCTCTCACACTCCCCTTCGTCCTCCCTCTCTCTACCCCCATGCAATCAGCGCCAGGCAGGGTGGAGAGCATCTGAACCCAGCAGCACCGCTCTATCTGCTGCTTCTGGACTGGGCTCTGCTGCTGGTGTGGGTGGGGGAGGCGCCAGGGATGGGGGCGTAGGTGGTGGGGGAGGGGGTGCACAGAAACGAATCCGACGGCTCAAAATCACCGAAGACTGAGAGGTTTCTTCTGGTGCTGGAGGTGGAAGACTAGGGGCGGTTGGGGGTGTGTGTGGTTAGCACAGAAGCGAAGTCAAATCCACAGAAGTCAAATCCACAGAAGTCAAATCCACAGAAGTCAAATCCACAGAAGTCAAATCCACAGAAGTCAAATCCACAGAAGTCAAATCCACAGAAGTCAAATCCACAGAAGTCAAATCCACAGAAGTCAAATCCACAGAAGTCAAATCCACAGAAGTCAAATCCACAGAAGTCAAATCCACAGAAGTCAAATCCACAGAAGTCAAATCCACAGAAGGTAAGTCAAAACCACAGAAGACTGAGAAGCCCCTGCTGTTGTCAGGTGTGGGTGGGAGCCTGATGTTTTGGTACCGCTCCGTATAAGAGAGGAACTCTCCTTGTAAGACAGGATGCTTTCTGTAGGAGAGAGATGTGGCCATACCTTCAAACATGCGATAGACAATATCCAGCTTTGTCTGTGTGCTAGTGAAGGAGGTGTACGTGTGGGATACCCGTTGACATTTGTCACTAATTTTGCAAGCAGCAGCAGCTGTGGTTTACCTACAAATGCATCATTGAACCAGAAAAAATGGAGGTACCTACAAAAGAGTTGGATGGTACCCTACCCAACCCACCAACATCAGATAGAGGCTCACTTCATGAGGCAGAGTTTACTTCTTGTCGGTTACGGTACCTCAGAAGTTGCATCATCAGGCAAAATTGGGGGTGTTGGTAACAAAAACCTGGAGGTGGGACCAGCATCAGAAACACACTTGGAGAAGCAGAGGCAGCACACCAGTCGCCATGCAATTTAACCCCGCAGTTTTGAGACGTCTCAAAACTCAATTCAGCCCTGCACTTCAGCCTTCAAAATTGTGCGCATCGTCCGGAACCGGAAACCTCACTCGAGCCAGGTCGTAGGACTGAGGTGGCCGGGGCCGAGGGCATTCATAAGGGTTGTCAAGAGTGCTTGTGGAGTCCACAGGAAGGGATCTGGTGGCTCACCCAGAGAGGAGCAACCATCAAACAGAGAACGAACTACAAGATGCCTGATTTCTCCTGCATTTTGTACTTCGTTCTCTCTTCACCTCCTCCTCCTCCTCCTCCTGCTGCTGCTGCTGCTGCTGCTGCTGCTGCTGCTGCTCCAGCTGCACCCGCTGCTCCTCCTCCTGCTGCTGCCCTGGCTGCTGCTCCTGCTGCTGCCGCCGCTGCCCCTGCTCCCCCTGCGGTTGCTACTGCCGCTGCCCCTGCTGCTCCTGCTGCTGCCCCTGCTGCTGCTGATTTATTTCAATCAGAAGGAGCCGGCCAGAGTGCCTGTCAGCTGTTAAAGAGTATGGCACGCACTGGCAAAGTCTCTCCGGAAAAAAAAAAATGGAGGAAGGAGCGGGGAAAAAAAATAAAAAGGTGCTGCAAAAAAACAGCGCCATGGTTCTGTAAGCACTGTGGACCAGCTTGTGAAAGCCAGAGAAGAAGAGAATCACTGGTGATTCTCTAGATGCATAAAAAAGGCAGCGCTGGTGACTAAGCACTGTGAACGAGCTTTGGCAGGTCGAGACGGCGGAAACGGATGGCAAAGTGCACGTCCTGCCAGAGGAAGGTGATGCGGGCGGCAGAGTCCACTAGCAGACAACCGTTCACCCACTGCGGGCGGCGGAAATTGTAGTCTGCCACCCGGCCTTGACCCTGGCACCTGTTGGGGTGGATGGCAGATGGGAACGGGGAGCAGGAGGGGTGGAGAGCAGTGAGAGTAGTTGGAGGTGAGAACCAGGAAGTGGTAAGCACCAGACCTAACAACCACAGAAATTCAGGAACAAAGATTTACATATCTAACATAGGTAATCAGGCACAAGACGGTGCCACTCTCGTTCTGCATTGGTTTAGCAAGCTCTGAGACGATGCAAGATCATGTTTAAGAAACGAACCTCCTCCGCGCCCTCATCTGCCCCCGCGTCATGATCCGTGTGCATAACAGCACAGACCAGAGCCATAAGCTCATAGCCCTCTGCCTCCTCTCTCCCTTCTTCTCCCGAGGCGTATCAAAAGTAACAACCAGGCAGCTAATCACTTACATCCAGACGAATTGAACCTCTGTGCCCTCATCTGCCCCCGCGTCATGATCCGTGTGCATCACAGCTCGGGCCAGAGTCGTCGCCCTCTGCCACCTCTCTCCCCGCTCCCTCCGCGCCTCTTCCGCTCGCTCCCTCTCCCTCTCAGCTGCCCTATCCACGTCACCACCATCACAGTCACCATCACCATCACCCATTGCAGTATCACTCCCATCTATCGCACTGCTTCCTCCCCCTCTGCCCCTGCCTTCACCCCTGCTGCTGCCCTCAACCCTCCCAGCAGACTCATCACCAGCGTTGCTAGGAGGGGGGATGACAATGCTACGAGTGGGAGTGAGCGGCATTGGCAGCCCTCCTGGGCCACGGGGCAGGAGCGAGTCGGTGGGTGGAAGGTCGGATGGATCGGGTGGGCCTTGGGCTGTGGCGAGGCGGGCTTTAAAGGTAACTTGGCCGCATGGCACGTTGGGATCACCTGTTATGGGAGAGAGGAAGTGGGTGAGGGGGTAGGTGGAGGAATGAGCGAGGGGAGATGACAAAAGGGCCTTGCGCTGTGGCAAGTCGGGCTTTAAAGGTTACTTGCCCACAGCGAACGTTGGGATCACCTGTTATGGGAGAGAGGAAGTGGGTGAGGGGGTAGGTGGAGGAATGAGCGAGGGGAGATGACAAAAGGGCCTTGCGCTGTGGCAAGGCGGGCTTTAAAGGTTACTTGCCCACAGCGAACGTTGGAATCTCCTGTTATGGGAGAGAGGAAGTGGGTGAGGGGGTAGGTGGAGGAATGAGCGAGGGGAGATGACAAAAGGGCCTTGCGCTGTGGCAAGGCGGGCTTTAAAGGTTACTTGCCCACAGCGAACGTTGGAATCTCCTGTTATGGGAGGGAAAGTAACGAATTCAGAGCACAGCCAGAACTACAAACGCAACGACATCCATCCTACCTGTGATCTTAGTGGTGACCATGCAAACACTCAGCACAGTTACAACATACACTCTATATGAACGCACTAACTTCAATCCATCCTACCTTTGATCTTAGTGCCGACTATCTCTCCTCCCCTCTCCCCGCTGTACAGACACACGCAGAATCTATACCCGTTACAAGCACACCCACACGCACTGTACCTGTGATCTTAGTCGCGACGATCTCTCCCCCCTGTACAAGCACATTCAGAATCTCCACGCCATGTGGCCCATACTCGCCCGTCCACAGCCCCTCCAGCCCATACGCCCACTCAGGCACCTCCTCTGCTGCCCCTCCTAGTCTTCCTCCTTTCCCCCCTCCTCTCCCCTCTCCTCTCTCCTCTCCTCCTCTGCCCCCTTCTCCTGTGTTCTCTCCCCCGCGCTCCTCCGCACACCCATCCCCATCCATCATCCACCCTTCATGCCCTTCCGTCCCCTCTCCTCCCTCTCCCGCCCCTAGAACCTCCTCCTTCGTCGCATCCTCCTCCATCCCATCCGCACCCATACCTGCTCCGCCAAAACTCCCCCCGGTCCCATCTTCCCCTCCCACCTTCTCAACCCCCATCCCTACCCGCACGCCTGCGCACACATCACCCGCCCTCCTCTTCCCCGCCCCCCTCCGCCTCTCCTTCTCCTGCTCTGCGCGGGTCAAAGGCACCCGGCTGTAGCTGGATTTCGGAACAGGCAACCTCCTCACCTGCCCGTTCACCTCATCAACCATCCCTCCATCCCCTCCGCGCTTCCACCCTCCCCCGAATCCCCCTCCCTCGAATCCGCCTCCCTGGAACCCTCCCCCTCCGCCTCCCCCTGCTCCGCCTATCCAGGACCACCCGTGGCCCCCAGAACTACCTGTCCCAGTTCCGCCCGCCCCAGTTCCGCCCGCCCCAGTTCCGCCTGCGCCTGCGGAGCCTGCGCCAGTTCCGCCCGCCCCCGCGGAGCTGCTGCTGCTGCTGCCGCCTGGGCCCTGGCTGCTGCTGCCGCTGCCGCTGCTGCCGCCACTGCCGGATGCTAGTCCTTCTGCTACCAGAAACGCGCCCGGGAGCCTCGGCTGCTGCTGCTGCTGCTGTAACGGCTGGGGCAATGGCTGCAACGTTGGCAGGTGCGCGGATAGCTGCGCTCGCGACCCACCAATCCCCACTCCTGCAAGCGCATTCGCCATCCCACCACCACCCCTCCCTCCCTCACTTCCTCTCCCAACCTCCCTCCCGTGCTCCCTCCCGTGCTCCCTCCCATGCTCCCTCCCGTGCTCCCTCCCATGCTCCCTCCCTCCCCTACCAGCATTGTTGTTACCGCCCGCGTTGCCCCTAGCTGCATTACCGCGGCCCAGCCCTCTGCCAGCCCCTGCTATCCCCGACAGGTACTGCAGCGCTCGCATCTGCAGCCTCGCGTCGCCTCTTCCTGCGCCACCACCAGCAGCCGCAACTGGAGGAGCAGCAGGAGGAGCAGCAGGAGGAGCAGCAGTCGCAGCCGCAAGGGCAGCAGGATTAGCAGCAGCACCAGCCGCAGCAGCAACACGAGCAGTAGCAGGAGCAGCGACTCCAGTAGGAGCACCAGGAGCAGCAGCAGCAGCAGCAGCAGGAACAGCAGGAGCCACAGCAGCAGTGGGAGCGGCAGCAGCGGCAGTCCATCCTGTTGAAGCTTCCCTGAAGCCAGGGCGGTCCCGGGCCTCCGCTCCCAGCCACATAGATCGTGACACCTGGCGGCCCAACAGAGCATCTCCAACCTCCTGCAGCGGCCGCTGCTGTTCCCCGTCAACACTCCCAGTCGCCTCGCCATCGCCACCAGCAGCACCAGCAGCAGCAGCACTGGCATTACAAGCAGAAGCAGCAGCAGCAGCACCAGCAGCTCCGCCTGTAGCGAGTGTGTTAGCAGCGGAAGGAGCGTTTACCATATATCGCGCCAGCAGGGGGTTCAACAGCGCTGCAGCAGCAGGAAACAGGAGCAGCAGCAGCAGCAGAGGAAGCAGCGGAAGCAGCAGTAGGAGAAGCAGCAGCAGGAGGAGCGGCAGCAGGAGAAGATGTGGGCGCGGACGCAGGGGAAGAGAAGGCAGCGTTTGGCGCAGCAAGACGAGCACACGACGACCCAAACAAACCAGACGCATTCCCCCGAGACACAGGGCGGGCGGCAGGGAGGAGGGTTTGCAGGTGGAACCTCTGTCGCTCCGCTGTCTCCCATACAAGCACACCCGGTAACTCCACAGTGTGCTGCTCCTCCAACCCCCGCCCTGCTAGGAGACGCAGCTGCGTAGTCCCGTCGGGGAGGGCTGAGATGAGGAACAGACGCGCGCAGAGCAGAGAGCCGTCTGGAGGTGAGAGAGGGAGAGGGAGAGGAGAGGGGGGGGGGGGGGGAGGGGAGCACATGAGGAAGATTAGCTGCTAAAGAAAATGGAACCCGAAGCGCCTCATGAATTTCAGCTGCATCGTTTCGTCAGGGAGGGCGAAGATGAGGGAGAGATGCGCGCACAGCAGAGACCCGTCTGATGGTCACAGAGGGAGCGGGAGAGGAGAATTTGCCGATTTTCATGTCAGGTCAGAAAGGTGCAAAACAATTTTAAGTTTTCTCAAGAAAATCCCCAAAAGGTATTTATTCGCCAAATTTGGACAGTGATTATGATTTTACTGTCACTATATTTCTAACGGTCTCTGAAAAGTACACCGCTTCATGATAAACACGACAATTGTGAAGTGAAAGTGGAGGGGGGAAGAGAGGGGAGGTTGGGGGGAAGGGGGATTTAGGAGGGAGACGAGGAGGGAGGGGAGCTTTCGCGGAACCTTACCAAGCCAATCAGGAATGATGCGATAAGCGACCATCGACATCTTTTCCTGATGAAGCGAGCGGAAACGGAAGAGAGAAAGGGGAGCAAATATGGGTCAGAGAGCAGAGCACGTCACGGCAAATGTATCCTCGTGCGGAGCTGCGAGGAAGCGAACGAGGGGGGTGATGATGTGAAGCGAAGCGAAGCAAGAATTTCGTGTCGAAACAACTTGGACACACAACGTGCTACAAACGGGGACAAGCCAGCGCGTCGTCCTGCTACAGGAATGTCTGCGGTCATGCTTCGACCTCATGCAAATAAACACGAAAATTAACGTATGAATTAACAAACAGAAACAAACCAATGCTGCCGCAATGGCAGCAGGAAAAATAGTAGCAATAGAAGAGGAGGTTTCTCACCCAACTAGCAAACAACAGACCGCCACGTGGAGCCAAGTCATCAGCAGCCCATACTCCGGCCAAGGGATCGAGAGCGTTTAAGAGACGGAAGAGGCATTTCGGGGAACTCGTTTCGACGAGCCAGTCGGAAATCGCCACGTCGGATTCCCATTGCTTGCACAGATTCAGCCAGACTTGGGGTCGATTAGCTAATGAATGCAGCGTGCGACACGTGGCAGCAGCAGAGAGTAGATCCTGATACTCTAGCTCGTGAAGAATCTGAACAATCACATCCGTTGGTAAGAGCAAAAGGTCCATTTCTTTCCTCGTTTTAATCTCCTCGAGATTGTGAGTGGACGGGTGAAGATACGAGGGGTCAATAGCCAGAAATTCGTCGATGGATGCTACCCGGCCTAACACGTCAGAAGGGAGGACGAGCGAAAATCACGCAGAGGTCTTAACCCTAAACACCCTGGAGTTGTACGTTTCACCAAGTCGGCGCAAGCAGCAGCGTAGATACGAAACAGTTCACACGGCATCTCAACCGTTCTTCAGCAAATGCTGCTCACGACAACATTTCCCTCTAATAGAAGCTACTCGCTAGCGATGCCAGCGCGACGCAAAAACGTGAAACCCCAAATCAGGCCGTGAATTACTTCCAGACTTCACCTCACCCCACCCCATGTGTGCCTACAGTCTAGCCAATCATCTAACCAACAGTGATACGCCCCTCATTGGCTGAACTCACACGCGTGGCGAAACGAAACGAAACCAGACGGAGCAGGCAAGTGAATCAGGCTGGAGAACCTAGGGTAAGGAGGTAAGGAGGGAAGTGAAGTCTCGAAACGGCAAGCAAGGGCAGCCGCACCGTGTAATCTCTACCATTTTTCATTGTCCCTTGTTTTTTTTCTGTACAGATCCATCCCATATCACTGCAAGCTCAATTAGACAATAATACTGTGTTGGTGGCTTTCTAAGGCACGGTCACAACGGGCCAACCCAAAAACCTATTTCCGATCAATCCACACCACCCGCTTCAAATCAGGACCATCTGCAGGCGAGCCATCACGCCCTTCCCCCTTGCCAAACTGTTCAGTGGCGAAAAGTCATAATGAACCCAACTTTATCATGGACGGTGGCATTTCGAGCCACGAGCGGTAGGCAGTGGCGGTTCGGTCGCCGCCGATAATCCTGACCGTGTATTCGAAGCGTGGATGTTTTTCGTTTCAAAAAGGGGGAAAGTGCACCGCTATGGGCTAGTCAGCGAGGCAGCCAACCAAAAGTTTATCGATATAATAGAATGTAGGTAAACCACTTTACTCATATATATCTGTTTACCCACATACTTCTACTAGCATCACCTTACATTTCACTCATTCGTGCATTTATGTATGGTTGACAAGACAAGCCGGTAAGACAGCAACAACTCTAGCGCTTACTGTTGGAGGTTGCGTGTGGGGGGGAGGTTTGCCCCCAACCACCGAATGAAGCTCACATGTTGACTTCGGAAGACCCATTGAATTCGTGCCACATGGCAGCACTAGAAGAATCGAGATTGAGGGAACATTCGAACCAGTGAAATTCGGTTGCCGAATTTCACCCCATTCGAAATGTTACATGAAAGTTCACGACACATCTCGTAGTAGCTAGATGTTACATGCGCGACTCGATGTATTGAGTAGATATAAATGTGTTCGCCTTCTTCAACACGGCTTCGCGCGTAGCGAGTGCGATAGCGCTTTGTACGTGTTGAAGGAGGGGGAGAAGCAATTGGTGCTTTTGCTCTACGTCGATGATTTACTCTTCTCCGACTCCAAGGACCTCATTCAGGAGGTCAAGCAACGGCTAGGGGTGGAGTTTGCTATGAGGGACTTGGGGCCGGTCACGTACTACCTTGGGATGCACGTCGATTGTGACCGAGCCAACGGGACCATCCACCTCCACCAAGAGAAGTATGTGAAGGGGGTAGTGGAGAGCTTCGGCATGGGCAATAGCAAACCGGTGGGAACACCACTAGCTACGGGGTTCTCTTGCCTCACGGGAGAGGAAGAATCCACCCTCGATGAAGCCGAAGGGAAGCGGTTTCATTCGCTAGTGGGCTCGCTCATGTATGCCGCCGTTTCTACTCGTCCCGACCTCGCATACGCCGCCGGGGTGCTTGGACGAGTCGTGAGCAACCCTCATACCGTATTCTCCCGGACAAAACACCCCCCCATGATAGTACACCCCCGGGTAGCTTGTGCGGGGTGGGTGCTATAACCGACCTCGTTTGTACTATACCCCCCCTTTTGGGGTGATTCTCTATAACACCCCCCTTTTCTTACAGATTCCTATTATAGCTGTTATCGAGTCGGATTCCTTACGGGAGAATATCGCGAGAACCGCTTCCTAGGTGAAATTTCGCGTGTACTTTCACTTAGAATCTGCCGACATTTCCCCCCTCCCACAATCTCGGTGTCGCCATCCTGACGAATCTTTCGCTGCAAGTAGACATTTCACCCCTCCCACGATCTCGCTGTCGCCACGCTGGCGAATCTTCCGCTGCAAGTGGCGCGAGAGGTGAAATTCACATTCTCGCCTCAAACTGTGATGTTAAAACGACCATTGAAACACCCAAACTGTCTAACCGAAAAATACTCTTACATTAAAATATGCCATATATACAGGATATTATACAGGATTATAATATGCCATATATACTCTTACCCGGGTATTATACAGGATTTTCCGTTGAGAGGACCCCCCCCCCTTTTTTCCCCGTGGTTATCATAATACCCCCGGGTGTTATGTCCGGGAGAATACGGTACCGAGCACGTGCGTGTGGGAGGACGCGTTCTACGCTACCTCCAAGGCACACCTAACTTGGGGCTCGTGTATGAAGCCGGCCCGATTGAACTCAAGGGCTATGCCGACTCGGACTACGCGGGAGATCCGAGCACGCGCAAGAGTACCTCCGGGTATGTCTTCACTTTGCTTGGGGCAGCCGTGAGTTGGCAAAGCAAGAAGCAACCAACCGTGGCTCTAAGCTCAACGGAAGCGGAGTATATGGCACTCACTCAAGGTGCCATGGAGGCGATATGGTTACGGCGTCTTCTAGCGGAGCTTGGGCATCCTCAAACAAACCCAACTCCTCTCTTTTGTGACAACCAAGCCGCCATAAGCCTCTCTCACAACGCGATCCTTCATGGGCGAACCAAGCATATCGAAGTGAAGCATCACTTCATTCGTGAGGCGGTTGAGAAGGGTGAGGTCAAACTCACTTACATAAGCACCAAAGCTCAACCCGCGGACTTCCTCACCAAACCACTCCCTAAGGATTCATTCCGTGCATGCTGTGAGCGTGTTGGATTGAACTTCTAGTGGCTTGGGTGCAAGGGGGAGTGTTGGAGGTTGCGTGTGGGGGGGAGGTTTGCCCCCAACCACCGAATGAAGCTCACATGTTGCGTGAGCTGCAGGTTTCGAAGTGAGTGGGTTGACTTTTGAAGACCCATTGAATTCGTGCCACATGGCGTCACTAGAAGAATCGAGATTGAGGGAACATTCGAACCAGTGAAATTCGGTTGCCGAATTTCACCCCATTCGAAATGTTACATGAAAGTTCACGACACGTCTCGTAGTAGCTAGATGTTACATGCGCGACTCGATGTATTGAGTAGATATAAATGTGCTCACCTTGTTTGCATGTTTCATACTGAAAATCAGAGTTTCCTATACACAGTTCAACTCGACACAAAATCCAGAGACTTTCTATCCTTCGATCTTAGAGCACTACCTAGCACGTTGAAAGCCGGATCTCAGCCGGATCTCAGCCGATACTTGGGCGAATCACGTGTTCTACGGCTCGTTGGAAAGCCAAGAGTGTGCTCTTGTCAAATGTTAATGTTATGATAGGCTGCAGTGAGGCACTCCCTAAAGGGTACAACATTTGTAGGACTCCTATTTGTATGCTTGCAAACCCTAATTCCAATCATTCCGTTGCATGTAGACTTTGAGATGGTATCACGAGTAGGTATCGATCCTCCGTCACGCCTAGCGCCCTCCGCGCCCTCCGTAGCGCCTAGCGCCCTCCGTAGCGCCTAGCGCCCTCCGCGCCCTCCGTCACGCCTAGCGCCCTCCGCGCTCTCCGCGCTCCTAGCGCCCTCGCGCCCCTTAGCGCGGCCCTCAGCCCGCCCCACGTCGCGCCCCTTAGTAACCCCCCCTCCGTGCCCTCCCCGTCGCGTTACCTCCCGTCCCCCTGCCCGTCGCGTCGCCTCCCTTCCCCCTGCCCGTCGCGTCAACCGTCGCCCAGGCCCGCGCGTAGCCCGTCGCCCAGGCCCGCGCCTAGCCCGTCGCCCAGGCCCGCGCCTAGCCCGTCGCCCAGGCCCGCGCCTAGCCCGTACGCCCTGGCCCCCGCCCATTCCCACCGTCAAAACCGCCCTCCCGCCCATTCCCACCGTCAAAACCGCCCTCCCCTCCCCTCTCTCACTGTTCATCACCTTAGCCCCACCGCCGCCTTGTGCGCGAGGCCCTCCCCAAATCTGCTGACACTGGTCTATCCCTCAGCGGCTGGCAGCCGCTCTCCCTCGCCGGTCACCTAGGTTAGAGCCGTTTTAGCCACTCATACCTCGCTCCTCGCACCTGTAGCTGGCGATCCACGATTTCACGCCTAGTCTATGTCCTCCTC